GGGAAAATAAATGAATGGAAGCGGAAGCTCCCAGCTACAGACGTTTCAATTTGGATCGGCGCGGAAACAGACACCATCGATAAGACGCCTCGAAGGACAAGCCTCGAGAAATAAATGGTCGAGATAGAGTTTCAATCGTTTACACCGACATCTGTTAATACATACCACACCTCTGAAGAAAGGTTCCATTGAGCCGAAGAAATATTTCGTTAATTCAAGGAATAATTATTTTATTCAAATGAGCTCGAATAGAGATTGGATGCAACGTTTCTTCGGAATTGTGACAATTTATTTGAGCCTGAATAAAATAAGTATTCTTTGAATTATCAATATATTTCTTTGGCAATGAGTTTCTCTTTCAGTGTATGTAGTAATAGCGAGATAATGTAAAATCGGGCTTTTATTAAGTGGTGTGAGAGCGTTAATTCACCTCCCTTGGTCTGCAGCTTGAGTGGAACGGAAGAATAATGGGAACCGAAGGACTTCCTTTTGCCAAGATGATAAAAAATCCCAAAGGAAACGGTAATGCTGCGCAGCACATGCTCGACCGGTGATAAATTACCTCGAAGTAGTAAGCTCTTTGCAGTGATCAGATACGATTCAGACATACATAACAGAGGCGGGTCAGACGTGTCCGAAGAAGTCAATGCGGAAAAGAAAAATGGAGATCCGTTCCCCCGGAAAGCCAGACTGATCCGCGAAACGCGAAAGAGGAGCAATAAAGAAACACCGAAGTAAAAGAAAAAAATATATATCCTAGAGTCGGGAAGGAGGAAACGAGAATTCGCTACAGAGGAAATTGCATTCGGGAATTTACACAAATCTGGGAAATTACGTTTCTACTCGTGCGGTGGAGAAATTCTACCCGTAACTCGGCAGTGAATCCGATGAATTGTAGGTACACGTCGCAATAATTGCATGCGGTAATTAAATTCTATAGGAATGTGTAAAAAATGGAGGTGATGATTCTCGGTGGAGAGAGCTTTCCCAAGAAATGCGAGGCAGAGTGTGATAACGATGAAAGTAAATAGTTGGAGCTGTAGAGACGTGGAAAAAGGAACGAAACCTCGTAGGCATGGAGCTTTAACTTCAATTGACCCGAATATAGGCGACGTCGAACGGGCGATCGAGGGTACGTGACCGAGGGAAATAATCGAGTTCGAGTATCGATATCGGCGAGCAAAAAAGTCCTTTTTGCCAGGCTGCTAAAAAATGCCCCGGGAAACGGTAATGCAGTGCGGCGCGCGGTCGGGCGGTGATAAATTATCCCAAAGTAGTCGGCCCGTTGCGATGGTCAGGCGCCTCGGCAAAAAGCGGCAAAATGGATTATTAATTGCAATAAACGGTCAGCGAGGGTTGGCGCCGCGCAAAATCACGAGTGCACGTCCGGTGCACTCGTTGCATCAAGAATCGGAAGCCGCGTGCATGGTTTCAAGCGGCAAAAACATGACGATCGATTCTTCGAGTCATTGGATCATCTTCATATCAATTTTTCAGTCCGTAAGGAATTTTATCTTTTTCCTGGTTAAAGGGAAATATATAATAAATGTTCTATAAATTATACTATGCAATCTATTTAAACACTATCTCCTTGGAATAATATAATTTAACAGTAAAAAAAATCACGAGTGCACATCCGGTTGCACTCGTTGCATCAAGAATCGAAAGCCGCGTGCATGGTTTCAAGCAGAAAAAACATGACGATCGATTAAACGTTCCTCGTGTCATTGGATCATCTTCATATCAATTTTACAGTCCGTAAGGAATTTTATCTTTTTCCTGGTTAAAGGGAAATATATAATAATTGTTCTATAAATTATACTATGCATTCTATTTATAAACTATCTACTAAGAATAATATAATTTAACAGTCAAAAATAGTGAACGATGACGAATTTCTCGTTTAATTCTCTGGAAGGGTTTAGTGGTAATTAATCCGAAAAATTTTGAGAGCGTTTCATCCCGGGGTTGGAAGAAAATTTATCGTGGAAGTTCTTTCTTTTCTTACTGGAGCAGGATAAGCTTCTACCGCATATGAAATTTTATCTCGACACCGTCTACTAAAAGTAATATAATATAACAGTTAATCATTATTTAATAGTAGAAACTCTGAACGCGTAAATGCGTGGCGTAATTTTCCGGGGAAGTCCAGTGATAATTATTTTCAGAAATTTTGGAAACGTTTACTGCGGGGTTGGGAGGAAATTCATCGAGGAAGTTCTTTCTTTCGTACAGGAGCAGAAAGTTTCTGCCGCATGCGGGATTTTCACCCTGTTTTTTTTTTTTCTCTCTCTCTCTCTTTCCCGTTGAACCACCACCGACTTGGCCGACAATTACGTCGCAGCGTTCCACACTTCCGGAGAACGTGCGGCACGGCCTGCGAAGTTGGCGGGCCACTTAATGGTTACGTCTGACCCCTAATCTCCCTTACCACTGGCTGCGAGCTTTAAGGGTGGTTAACCCTAACCCCTGGTCACAGGACTACTAATTATTCTTTCGCCCTGCCTAAGGCACCCGGCTGTAGTCCGCAGCCCCGGAATACGTCTTCCAGAATTAGTCGCGTGTATCCGTTACACAATTCACGGCAGCGTAGTCCGCGGTTCTGGGAACTGCTAATTTCTACTTTTGCCGAATAAATCCAAGTAAATGTGAATCGGGACATTGTAGGGGGGAATAACGATTCCCCGGGCACTATCAAGACTGCGAGAAACGCGATTGGTCGAAACAACGTAACCGACCCACGGATACCCAACAAAAATCATATTTACTAACTAAAATAAAACACTAACCTTTAACAACGTCCACAGATCATCAGAAGATTGAAGGGCCTACAATGAACCATATCCTGTTACTTTGCTTGATTTTGACAAGGTCGCAGGGCTGCTACATTTATCCAAAAGGTACTTCATCTCTAGAGAAATTGAGGATCCCAGCGATTAGCGGGCGATTAATTATTTCGTTAATGTCGACTTCCCTCCGGATAGTCGTGAATATCTGATCCCAAATGCGAAGGGGGCCATTCGAGTACATCGTCGTCCTATATCATGTCACATGACACAACGATGGCTTAAAATCCCGACCGGCTCGCGATCCGATACATGTTCCCGATTGGTCGGCTCTTCTCGAAAAATTGAGGATTCCAGTGATTAACGTGCGATTAATTCTTTCGTAAATGTCGACTTCCCTCCAGATAGTCGTGAATATCTCATCCCAAATACGAAGGGGGCCATTCGAGTGCATCGCTATACTATGTCACATGACACAACGACGGCTTAAAACCCTGACCGGCTCGCGATCCGATACTCCCCGTTCCCGATTGGTCGGCTCTCCTCGAAAAATTCTGTCCGGTCGGTCGTAGAAGACAAAGCGGAAACACAGATCTAGGTTGGACATAAGCTCAGCTGGAATCCCGGCCGGGTAAGCTCGCAACGACGCCAACTCGTGAAAGCCCGGTCATCGTCGATTTCCATGTCCGAATCCGGGGATTCCGCGCCGGGTGGGCGCATCTCCGGGAACGTCGACGTTCAGAGGACGAGGGAAAAACGAAAATGAAAAACTTGGGGTGATTATCGACGAGGCTGCATCGAGCGACCCGCGCGGAGGCAATAATTTCGTTTCTCGTTTAAGTGGGAGGGAAGTGGGTGGCGGATGGGTGGCGGGTGGGAAAACAATTAGTTCGACGAGGTACTCGGAAGCGGATCGCTCGCGAATCGCTGGCAAAGGTGGTGCGTAACTGGAAAAAGCTCTCTTTCTGTAAATAAGCCCGAGCTTAAAGCCCTATGCATGTAATGCCTCTCGCGTATCTCGTCTCGCATTGTCGATTTTTATTGCGAAATCGTGGCACTTGGAAATTGTTACTTGGCAAATATTAAGGGTTAATGAGAAAAAGTCACGAGAGGGGCTCCGGGGGGAAAAAATAACTTGGGAAATTTAGATTGGCATAAAATCGATGAGGAGGGAGATGGGGAAAGGTCTCTTGAAAATCCCAAGAGAGGAGCGTATTTTCTGGAGGACCCCGAGTCATGACCCCGCACTAAAATCGTTAAGCTCATCCGGGAATTGTCTTTGGCAGACAGGATCTCCGGGAAATTTTTTATTTTCCCCGGAAATAAAGGCTCCGAAGCCCCGAAATACGGCTTTGCAGGTCGCCGAAGCATTTATTCCCCCGTGGATCGGCACGGATGTAATTTCACGGCGAGTTACGATGCGCCGTGTTTACTACTTGTAATTACGTTTGACCGGACGGCTCGGGAAAAAATCATTGATTACACGGCGGCTGGCTCGGTCGGGACGAGCTTGCGGGTGTTTTTTTAATTTTAGTTCTCCCCTCGTCCCTCGGGGATATAAATTCGTGCGGTGCGGAGCGCAAGCACTTCCAAAGTGCCCGACCTAGGAATTTTCCTCGGATTTTTGAGGAATTAAAAGTCCACATTCAGCGCCGCGAAGCGATCTCGCGAGGACGCGAAATAAAGCCCTATCGTGCTAAATTCAGATTTGACGTTTCTTTTTCCTACACACAAGGACGTATTACGCAGAGTAATCTTTCAAGAGACGTATCCTGGTATTTTAATGAAGCGTGAGAAAAATACGGACGTTTTCATTCCAGGTCTTTCATACTTTCCGGGCCGCTTTCCTTGTTCTGCCCATATATCCGAGTGAATAAATAATTAGCATAATAGAGGGAACCTCTCTCGGCCATTTTAGCAGGGATTTTCGAGGGAAGTGCCTCGATAAAAATCCGGCGGGAATTCCCCTGTTCTCCCTAGAGCGGCGCTATCGACCGCGCCGAATGAATTCGAAAGATTTCAATTTTTCGATAGGGACGACGCACGTCTCTTCCGCGATTCTCGATCCTACGGATTTCCTCGCAATTTCCTCGCCGTCGCGTTATCCTTTGCGCATCTCCCGGGAGCTCCTTTTTTTTCCGGGAAAAAGGAGGAAACCCGATCTCCGAGGGAGCGATCTCTCTTAAAGGCGTCCTCGTTATATTTCTGTTTCAGAAATCACAGATCCCTGCACGAAACTGAACTGCTCCCAGGGAGCGCAATGTGTGAGAACCAGAGATGGATCCGAGGCGAAATGCGAGTGTCTCGAATTCTGTCCAAATTTGGGAGACCACGAGGGATCGGGACCAGTTTGTGGATCGGACGGCGTCGACTATCCCAACGTCTGCGAGCTGAACAGAGCAGCCTGTTCGAGAGGTGTAAACGTCACGGTCGCGTTTCGCGGTAAATGTGGTAAGTATGATTTTTTTTTCACAATTTTTTAAGCTTTATGTTTTGAAGCCCATATAATGAGGGAGCCATTAAAATACATTTTCCACGTTTTTAAATTATTTAAGGCTATACTATCTTAGCTATTGGAGGGCCATTTACATTTTCAAGGTCCTGGCGAATGCATGACTAAGTGCTAATCATGGATAAGTTAGATATAGTGACGTAGCTGTGACTTATAGTGACACGTGAATTTGGTATATATATCTTTATTATTGATCGAACATAGGAGACTATATTTTAAATGACTGTTGAATTAATAATGCTGTAGAAAAGGTTTTGTGACGGTTTATGACGCGCATGTGCAAGACTGTGGGATACGTCTAACGTTTCGAATTTATCCCTCATTTATTCGCTTTAAGCCCGATTTTCCGTAGATCTAGTCCGTAAATGGGACGGAACAAATAATGCCCCTGACGAGCAGGGGTAGCACCGAAGGGTGCGTACACACCGCGACGATAACTCATTCGAATCGGCCTGAACGTGTCCCGGTGGGTTTGCCCCTCGTCCCTCCGGGCAGACAATGATAAATTGCAGATGCAACTGCGTTACGGGGGAGGAAAGGGATGCTGGACACTGTTGGGTGAAAGGGTTCGAAATGTGGGCGTGCAGGTGTCGCAGGTGCAGCCCTAAGCCCGGATACGCATTTAGAGGTGCGTCTGCATGCATGGAATGCAGCCAGATGCATTGTACCAGGGAATGCATAGTCTGGCTATAGCTTGACTTTACCACTAGCGAAACCAAACCTACTAATCGAATACAAAGATCACATGTATGCGCTTTGTATTCTCTCTAAGCCTCATTGCGCCTCCACAATTTCACGTCTGACCTCAACATAATTACACTCGTAAAAAATAATAATTCTTACCCCATTCGCGACCACTGACGTGAATTCACGTCATTTTAAATTCTATTTCTGATTGCCGCTGACGTGAATCACGTCCATAACGATACACGATACAAGTTTCCGGTAAACCAGTTTAAGAATTTCATTATTTTCCCTGGTACTCAGTATTTGAAACGGGAATAATTTGCCGGTCGCGAATGTGTTAAGAATAATATTCGACTCTCTGGGCGAAGGTGCAGAATTATTACTACATCTAGAGTAGTAGATTGTACGTGTCTCGTCTGCCTCTATCAAACTTCTACTACTGCTTCGAGAACGTGGGCTGACCGTTCTTTTACCGATCCACTAGGATTCATTTCATGGGGAGGGAACTGAAGGGTAGGAAAGGGTTGAAATTGTCAGCGAGCAGGTGCATCAGGTGCACTCCACGTCCAAGTGCACGTCCAGGGAAGTTCTACTCCCGTGCCAAATACGATCAGACGGAATACTCGATATTCGGGATTCTCGGTCTGACTTTGGCCGTCCTCTTCCACTGGCTCCGAAGTCCTGGCCGACTATTCCTCCGCCTTCTCCACTGGCACCTACTTCACGGTCGTCCCTCCTTGCTGCATTTCGGCCAGGAACAGACACTTCGGTTGAATGCAGTACAAACTTAGCGGGCGTTTAATCAACCGAGTAGTAAAGACAAATGTTTGAGCAGACAGGCGCGACGGCTTCATTTACTTAGGATTAAGCAAGTCCCTGCTCTCGAAAAGCCGGAAGCGGTAATCGCGATAGCTGTTGGGTAACGAGACGGTTAAACGTCGCGCGGACCAGACGTCTGTCGACACAGTGCCGATTGACTTCCGGCAAAGGGTTTGGCGACTTCCGGGGAGGCCGATGGCGTCCCTCGAACGGTGGGGTGGAGGCTCGATTTCTGCAGCTCGAATGAAACTCACCACTTAACGGTAGCCATTTTCCTGGACTCGACGACTTGCACAAGGAAGCATTTCTGATACTTCTACGAAATTATTCGGTAACAATTGCAGATCGATGCTTGCAGCACTCTTTGCGAAAACTGGAAGGAAACGGAACCAGTAAAGCTTCACTGGTGGTAATTGCGTTTTTAAATAATTCCGTCCTTCAGATATTAGTAATAGTCGTGGGACTTGCTTGATTTTGAAGAATGGAATTAATTTGTTAACGCAGGAGGGTCTTTAACGCGGATCTAAATTATGTGACCTCGGAAGAATGGCCGGGAATTTTTTCCTCCCTTATATTTGGCCCCTCTCGGGATTTCCACCCTTTTAGCTATCGATCGAGTCGAAATCGCGGTATCCGCTCGACAGTAATCCCGGTAATGAACTTTCCTCTCGAGGGTAGTTTCCGAGTAGCTATTAGTCCGGTAATTATTATCAGTTGATAATTAATGAGTCGCTTCAAGATCCCGTAAGGATTTCGCGCTAAACCATGGATCCAGTGCCCACAAGGGAACCCCATTCATATCATGGACATCAAAATTATGGAAAAATTCCTTTCCGTATTGACAAGTTCGAATCTGTTCCACCCTTTCCTTTCCCCCAAAATCTTGTACAGTATACAAACCTCTTGACACAAGGTAAAGCTTCGATCCGAACTATTCATTTTTCTCGATTAATTCAAGAAACGTAACCATTACAATTTTGCAAATATTTATTGCGAACTTAATGACTTTTGAGTGTTTTTTGAGGATGAGCAGGAGAAATACATAAGATAGATACTTTTTTTACCAACCGGATTAAAATTGCACTAGCGAGCAAGCGAACGTGACGACAGTATCGAGCGGTTTTAAAATGAGTTAGCGGCTCCTCGATAAATTTCCCATCACCTATGTGCGACCTCGACAAGAAGACATTGATGTCCAGGAGGCTCCACCACCCCCGAGAACCGTGATTCCTTCCCAGAGCCACCTAATCTCTGGGAACTAATTTTGCCCAGTTATTTCGGTAATGATAATCTGCCAATTACGGGCGAGAGCCGATTAAAGCCTCCGTCGTTTCCGGCTCGGCGGAAGCCCGAAGAAGCCGTCGGTTGGCCTCGGTCGATCCTCCCAATTTTCAGGTCGAGGAGAAATCCCGAAGATCGACCACCCTAATTAGTGGGGATAAAAAATAAGAAAGAAAGCCTGTATCCCGAATTAACGACCCCCCAAGCCAGACATTTCTGCCTCGCTTTCGCACCCACCTGTCCTCCCCCTTTGAAAAGTTAGCATCCTCCCGGAAATCTCTCCTAGCATTCCTGCCTCCCTTATTATATATCGGGAACAATGAAACGTAATATTCGAAGAGGATCTCTTTTCCTTCTCGCGGCGGTATGGATTGGGCATAGTTAAGCCAACAATGCCCTTTATCAGCCGGTGCCAGTTTTCAGACCTCCCACCCATCGAGCCTCCGCCAATAAGAAATTCTCCTCATAAAGTGTCTTCCGGGAACGGAAGCCATGGTTAGCCCTAGAAGAGTGGGAGAGATGGGTGGGGGTGGGTGGAGGGGGTCCCACCTTGGAAAATCGGGAAAAGGAACTCCAGGCCGGGGACAGACGCGAATCTCAAGTGGCGGGGGCGATAAATCAAATTAGCCCCGAAAGTTGCGAGGGTTCGATATCAGTCGGATGGACCAAATTGAAAGCCAACTTGTCCCGATTCAACGACCCTCTTCGAAAACAGGATCTCCGATGAGGACGGCAGAAATCCTTGGCGAAATCTTCCCCGGTAGACCCGGGACGCCCTTCTGTGTGAATGGGTCTTTACACTTGAAATTCTCAAAATAAGGGCGGCGAAAGGGGAAGGAAACGCAAATTTCTCCGCCTGGAGGAATGCGTTCAACTAAATTTATACACCCAACTACACGCGATGGGATGCGTGTATTGCTTTTCTCTTCTTTTTATTCTCGGGAGGTAAATGGGGAGGGAGGACCATCCTTAGACTACAGGGTGGTTTACTCGAGGAAGAACTTTGGGGAATGTTTGCGAGGTCGTCTGCGGGGAGATTTGGATACCACTTCAAAGAGGAACCATTATCTTGGTTGGGGGAGTCAGGGTGGCCAAATTCAAAGGGAGATAACATCGGGGAAGTATTTATAAAAAGGCGAGCCCTGACGAACTCAAAGTAAGACGTCTTGCTCGAAAGCGTCCTTCGAGGGTCGCATAAAAATGTCGAATTATTCTAAGGAGCCCTTACCCCGAGAAAAAAAGAATGGTTAACTCAAAGAAAAATGCTTTGCGGGAACAAAATCCTGCGACGAAATGCGTAAAAAAAAAATCACGTTGAGTATACAACAATTTTTTATTGAATCAAGCCAAGGTGAAGTGATACCTGATAATATTTTGTAATAATGGACGTTGGTAAATGTATTATTCTTTTCGCTTTCGTCCAACACTACGAATGTTTCATTTACTCCCTTATTTTGTATAATCGATGACATCGGCGTCCCGTTTTTATAAAAAAATGTAGGTTATTAAATAAACCTTTTCTTATTTGTAGAACTGCACATTTGAATCTAATCATTCGTTTAAATCAATTACCTACATTTTTCTTCTCAGTAAATTAATTGTTTCTCACAATTGTGTATGACTCAGGTAACAATATATATGTCAACAGTACATATTTGTTTCAGCCCAGTAATCGTCTTTCTCGATGTATGTTTCCGCCAGTTTATTATCTCCTTTTATGGGATTTATCTGCTAGGGAATGATATATTGGTAAATTTGGACGTTCACTATGGCGGATATTTCTCGGGGAGAGTAACTCGAATTTCGACGATTCGACTTTAAGCGGTCCCGGTTTAAGTACACGAGCGCAATGGATCGAACGGAAGTGGGTTACTGCTCACATACATCAGCCGGAAGTACCTGGCCGCTGTTAACATCAACCCCATCATTGCTCCCCAGACATAATACACTTATACGACCACCATAATGTCGACTTGCATTCGTTCTGCAACTATCGTACCGCATTCTCGAGTCAAGTGCGTCGTTTCTATCGAGATCGGCATCCACACATTTCCGGTTTGCATTTTACAGTCGCACACGTTTCATGCGTACTAAACCGAGACATACGTTCTGACTCGCTCGACCCTAATATGTTGAATTATTTCCGTCCGTTAAGCGATATAAATGTAAAATATTGCCGCGATAAAATAAATCATAACAACACACCGTCGAATTTGAGTAACTGAAACGAGAGACTATTCACTTGAAGATCCGTGGAAACGATTTCCTTCTTTGAGAATCTATTGCCTGTGATTTCATTTATTTAACAACAATACCATTCGGCAACAAGTGATGTTTGGCCTTAAAATTATGACAGTGTTTCAGCGATTTCAAACTGATTTCCATGGGATTTCGAGAAATACCCTCTCGAACTAAAATCTCGAAAAACCAAACGCAGAAAAAGATTTGGCTGAATCAATGAAATATTTGTTAGTTCAACCATGGAATATGGTTATTATATGGATCAAATATTTAATTGACATGACAGATTCCTTGATTAATACCATTTTATCTAATGCATGGAACATCGTGGGAAATCACGCCAAATCTTAAAGTTCATCATTGGTCAATTTAATTAAAATCTTTATTGACTAAAATATTTCCGAAAATTAACAAAAGGATTTAACCGAAACACTCTAGTTGTTTGAATCAAACTAGTTAGGTTAAGTGAACCAAAATTCGGTTCACTCAACCGAAATGTTTTCTGAAACGAATCGAATGCAGTCAAACGATTTTGTTCAATGGACATTTTTTATCGACGTGCGGATTGTAATTTAACGGATGAGACAGTGCAAAGATATGTTTCATAAAAGCGGTTGACTTTCTTTTTTTTTTTCACGGTGAAAAGGCGACTTGAACTCCTTTCGGGATTAATTCAGGATAAATAAATGCATTTAGTTTTTATACGCGGGAAGTGTTTTTTATATTGTAGTTCAACATGTGAGACAATGCGAATGTAACTGACGGAATGGACGTAACCGCGTAGCTTTTCGTTATTTGAGGGAATTAATGAAACTAAATGCAACGTTGAAGTTCCAATATTTGAGACGGAGTGCTTTTGACAAATTGACAATTTCGAAAATACGACAGGCGGGCAAATTCGAGGAAGGACAGACGGTAAGTAAATTAGTCATCGGACGAGTCCAGGGCCGGGGGAATTTCTCCGCGGATTTTCAGCCCTAACTCGGGGAGAGCCTCCCCCGTTGGCAACCCCGTACGACCCTCTCGATTATAATTCTCCACTAAAAGTTGGTCCATCGCAATGCAAAATGCGCGTCGGAACTAAGAGAGCGGGGAAAAAGGCGGTGCGGAAGTTCCGCGTAACTTTGGAGATTAGGGTGGCGGCGGAGGGTGTAAAAGGGCGCGGAGACGCGGACGAGGTCGGAAGAGCTCGACGGGGCTTAGCGGCGGACTTAAAAACAATTGCCCCGCGGCGACGTGGGAATTTTAAACACACTTTTATCGCTTTCTCAGCCGGCTTTTGTGCTTAAATCGCCCGGGGATCCGCGAGGCTGAATCGTACGGCTCGTTCCGTACTCCGGCCACGATTTCCGCCATCCCTCTGACCCGCGATTAAACGCGCATATTGAGAAACGAGGCCAGGGCAAAAACTCTTGCGATATCCTCCCCAGGTATTGACTTTCCAATTAAGGTGGCCAGGACCGAGTGGAGTAGGGAAATCCCGAACGTGGAAAATCCTGGCAAATCGCGGGAAAACATTGCCATGTCACCAGGAGGGTGGCTCCGTAACGAAGCGGAGAGGAGGAAAGAAAGGGAGTTTTCGGGGACAATTTTTATTTACCTCATAATGCGACTCGTGCTTCCGTAAGCGATTCTTTTCACCCCCGTGTTCGTCCCCATCTCACCCCCGAAGAGGGCACAAATAAAGCGACGTTAGGGTAATGTCGCGTGAAGCTACCGCGAGGGTGGCCGCCCCCGAATTCTGAGTTTTTCTCGAAAGGGACGTACAGAGGGGTGGAATAGAATATTTTGAATTCCATTACCGAGGAGAGAAGAGTAATTCACGCAGGCTTACCTTAGCCTGGCTAAGGGTGGATTCGTCCGAGTACCTTGGGGATAACTTTACCCGCTCCATTGGTCCGTAACTTCGGCTAACCCGAGAAACAGCAGCCTGAAAATCTGTCTCGTCAGCAGGGATCTACTCTAAACCACCCTCTATAACCTGGGAATAAAACCCTCCCCTTTTATTTATGAATACGTTCGCATTAAATTCCAGAAACTGCCAACAATTGCTGCCCCTTCACAGAAGTCTTTGAAATTAAACCGAATATTAAAAAATTGAAAAATAAAAATTGTAACACCTCTCAAGAAGAACCCAATGCTCGGAACACCTCATTCCGCGTCATACTCTCTGTGAGATGAAACGATCGATTGCGCAAAATCCTGTAGCTGTAAAAGTTATAGTTAGGTAGATTAAGAAGTTGGGGGCATAAATTAGGCAAAGAATAAGTTGCCTGAAATTTGATAAGCTGGTTAGTGCCGAGTTGCACGGGAAACCTTGTCCCGTGGCCGATGGGCGATAGGGGAGGTAGGCTTTATGGGGTGACTTTAGTCGCTTCAGTGGACTGTAACTTAAGCTAACCGGAGAAACAGCACCTCGAGAACTTGCCTCGTCCGCCTAGCTCTAGTTCGACCCACCACCTATGGACCGGAAGCGAGATCCAACTTCCTTCCTCCCGGGGAAGATTAATCTCGGCGCGATACTGCCTTTGTTTCTGGCCCGGGCTGCGGCCATCGGTGCGGCACGAGTGTTTCCGTTGGTTTCGTACGTTGATTGCGTAAGAGATCGAGGTTAGGCTACAGTCGGTGGGAAACGTCAGGAACTCGCCGTTCTGGACCGCTGGTGCAAGGAACGCCAGGACCTTTCGGGCTTGAAGGCTTCCCTGCTCGGAGGACCGCCGAGGTCCTTGCTCCAAGGAAGCCGGCGACCATTTCCGGGAAATTTATTGGCTTGGTTATGTTCGCGCCGCTAAATGGAGAATACAATAAGTGAAATGAATGTCGGACTTGGTACCTTCGTACGTGGTCCGCCCTGAAAGGGACGGCGACGTGTGCGTATGCTTTCAGCGTCCTTGTTTCAAGAGTATAGTTATAAAAATGAAAAGTTAAACACGATCATCATCTGAGCACCGATTCCAGCCATTCGCCAGGAAGGATAGTTCTAATTGATTTATCCTTTCATTTCTAGTTTAAGGTGATATGAAAGTGACATCAAAGTAGCCTCGTTTACGAGACTTTTCTCCGAACTAAGTGTACCAAGTCGTTTCAAACTTCAGAATGTGAAGGCTATTTTTTTTATAAAAAATGAAATTTCGTGAGGGTCAGAACCTTCTTTATGGCCTCCATATCCATATTATAAAGTTTGAAACGATTCGGTACACCCAGTTCGGAGAAGGTTCATGATTGGCTTCTCAGACGTCACTTTCATGTTACATACTTAATGCGGTTCATTACATCTTAGGGATAGGATACGGTTCATTTATACATATCTTAAATATTTAAGGGATGGTTTGGACATGATGTGGTTTGGACTAGTCAGGAAACATTAACAAACCTCTTCAAAGACCGGATGGGATTCTTCCAGATCCTTGCGCGGGTGTTTCATGCATGGAACCGGAAGTGTGCCAGCTGGACGCGTCCAGGCAACCAGCTTGCCGCTGCGGAGAACAATGCGGCCTAGAATTCTCGCCGGCTTGCGGAAGCGACGGGAAAACCTACTCCAACGAGTGCACTTTGCGGCAGGAGGGCTGCAGATCCCGGATGCAGCTCAGGAAAATCTACAAAGGAGTGTGCAGTTCAGGTTAGCACCCCCGCCACACCTTCGTGCCGGACCCCCTTAACGAAATTTTCGACACCCGGCCGCGGAGGAACTAAAACAGCGGTTCCAGCCTCCCCTGAATTTTCATTTATTTACTATAACTGGCAAATAAAATCATTTCCGCCGCGGTTTTCCCAGATCCATCCGCGGCACAATTAACGCGGCGAACCTGGTGGGAACCATCGACCATCGACCGCATGACAATGCCTCACTCGTCGTCCATTCGTGATTCGCGACAAACTTTGAATTCCCCCCTTTCTGTTTAATTAAACCATGGCTCGTTGTTTAACTGGAATTTTCCGAATTATTAAACCAGACAATCAATACGGGCAAAAGTGTCTGCAGTTGGGCCAAGTGTAGATGTAACCATAAAACTATTCATTAGGAAAAAGACTTGCTAAATTGGCACACAAATTTGTAGCAATGGCCAAAATAGTATTGTTGATTTTTATTAATTATTGATATTTTAAGTGAAAAAAATAATGAAGAAAAAGAACCGTTCGCATAAGAGCATTTCGTGAAAGAAATTAAATAAGAGGAATTAACAATAATTCTCTATAAACTCCCGTAACGCCAGGTGACTTTGAAGTCACACCCGTCCATAATCCATCCATATCCATAATCCTTAAGGTGATGTGAAAGTGACGTCAAAGAGGTCTCGTTTATGAAACTTTCCTCTATAGCCTCCATATTGACGTTGTAAAGTTTGTGACGATTCAATACACCCGATTCAGGGAAAAATCTCATGAACAATTGCCTTCCTAGATGCCACGCCACATTCACATCCCCTTATAAAATATCTTCTGTAAAATTGCACCCCACCTCATTTTTACACCACTCCTTTGTAGTCAAGGAATTTCCTCATAACTGATAAATCTATAAACATTTTATTTTACATAGATTAATATAGACTTTAAGTTTGCAAACTGTTAGTACCTAAAAATTTCGCATCAGGTGTTTTGATTGAAAAACAAATTCGGTTACAGAGGATTGACTTGTAAGTTCCACTTTCAATGGGCTTAGGGGCCGCGCAAAGACGTTTTTATCATGGCTTAATTATTTTTCTGCGTACAGGGACGAATCCTTGCGACGGGGCACAATGCGAACCTTTGCAACAATGCGCCATCGACAAGTACGGGATCGCTCGATGCGAATGCGGACCAGTTTGCGAGCCGATCATGAGACCCGTGTGTGCAAGAGGAGGGACCACCTACACCTCACTTTGCGAGATGAAGAGACAAGCTTGCTTGATGAAGAGCAGCGTCGAGCTCGCCTACACCGGAGCCTGCGGATCCAGAGGGCCCTGCTCCGAGAAGGTCCGTAATAAAGTCGCAGTCGGCAACCTTCTCGACCTATCGGGAAATTAATAGCTGAGCGAATTCCTCGAGATTGCTGCCTCTCGAAGCGACAGGCCACCCGATACCCGGCTCGTTACTTCTTGCCTCGGTACACGTCGATTTCCTCGTCTGTCCCCTGCCCTCCTAACGAGCCCTTTAATTCGACTTTGATCGCGCCGCAGTAAATGCACCCTCGTGAGTTTCCTACTTCATTTCTAGGAATTTAATCTGGACCGTTCGGACCGCGCGACGGGTGGATTTTTCTTCTTCATTTTTTAATTACAGGGGTTAATGGGATGTGAAAAGCATCTTAATAAGCGAGCTTGAAGGAGAATGAGTAGGTGAAGGGTATATTTGCTTGCGAGACTGTTTCATTTGATGTAAGCAGAATTTAAGATAAAAGTCACTTGGAAACGTTTCAAAATGGCGGACTGCTGGAGGCTGGATTTAATTGATGATATTTTTTTCATGGTGGGTTTGATCCCGGGAGAACGGCTAGTACGAATGAAAAAGGTATTGTGGGTTTTGGAACTAGAGAAAATTGTTTAGGAACTGATGGCATGTAGTCTGTATGGACATTTTTATACAAGAGGTATTATAAAGTACAGGGTAAAAAGCGATGAAGAGGGTAATTTAATTACCTTTCTTTTCTTGAGATTTGAATTCGTTTTTCATTGCCAAATCGTGCCGTCAGTTGTTGAATGACTTTTTCAGTTTTGAGAACCATCTTAACTTTTCATTTCAGAATTGCCCTTCCCATGGAAAGATGTACACAGTAAAGGAAAAATCAGAGATTTCCAGCTTCCACGAGTCCGGCATTTTCAAACGTTTGAAAACTTTGTGTATCTGAAATTCTTAGAATATAAAATAAAATGTGAGCAAGTATTTCCGGTAACTTATCACTCTCTATTAAACTTACTTTGATTAAAACGCAGTTGACAACCTAAGACCATAGCCCCCTTAAGATATGAAACGTAAAATGTAGAATTTAAAGTATGTATTTTAACACGAGTTACCAATGACCTCACATGGAGATTAATACATGTATTTTAACACGAGTTACCAATGACCTCACATGGTTTTTTACGTTTTTTTTTTTCTGTGAAATTTCTCCGGAAACAAGCAAGAGTCGCCAGACTCTTGGAAACGTATCTGGATCTTTTAATCCGAGATTCATTAAGGGTGTTCATAATTGCATGATTTCCACTGATTCCTTACGCAGCACCTAGAAAGGAATGTTCTTTGTGGATGAATTCCCACACGTGGCCGGTTCTACTAACTATCCGATTTTTCAAGAAACTCTCTCTACCTCGTCCTAATGACTGATGTAGTAAAATCTCACCATTACCGGGAGATTTTCAGAAATAACCCCGGGAAAAACATCGACCGTGATATCGGGTGCGAATAAATTCCTCCTTGCGTTTCGTTCCGTTAATGATTCCAAAATCCCGATAAGTGGTCAAAGACAAAAATGTATAAAGTGGCGAAAGTACCTTCGAGTAAAAAGTATTAGATTTTGCATCAGAAGCGTTCAATTACCATCGATCCCCAATTTCGTTCCCTTCTCTCGACACCTGACTGGAAGGGAACAAAAGACTTGCCACTTGGAACGTCTTTCGCTTTGACAACTTGGGAAGACTTTTCAAATTTAGACCCTTATTACGCGACTCCCCGACTGCGATTAACTCCCAATTATCGAGAAATTGGAGCGCGTGAGCAGGAAAGGCCGCGGAAGATAGTGGCGCGAGTAATTGGAAGTAATTCGACCAGAAAGCCGATCGATCGGAGATTTCCTGCCCGAGAGAGGAAAACATCGCCTTCGGTGTAAATCGATGCCTAGTCAGAAAAGAGGTGGATAATAAGCGAGGAATATCTGTTTCAGATCTGCCAATGGGGCGCGGTTTGTGCGGAAACCGGCGGCACCGCGGTTTGCGAGTGCCCCACTTGCCCTGCGGAATTCCAGCCCGTTTGCGGAAATGACGGCATCAGCTACGGAAACGAGTGTAAACTGCGTCTAGAAGCGTGTCAACATCGCAGGGAAATTCAAGTGCTCTACCAGGGCTTGTGTAGTGAGTTTTAAGTACTCGATGACATACTCGCCTACCGTGCCTCTCGCTATGGAAAAATCCCAAATAAACATTACATGTTATTTGCCCATTCTCCAAACGCGGAGAATCTGCACGGCTGAGGAGATTTTAAACGATGTGTTTAATTAGGATAAATTTTTGAGTACATATCCGAAAATTAATTGGAGATTTTTTAATTATTATTTTTCTATATTATACTGTAACCTGAGCAGTAAGTTTTAAGTACTCGATAACATAGTCGCGTAACGTGCCTCTCGCTAGGAAAAAATCGCAAATAATCATTACATGTCCTTTACACATTTTCTTTTAGGGATCCTTTACGAGATCGATTTACGTATGTATCCCAAGATTGAGGATACTTCAATTAACACGTTATTAAACGCGGCATTCCACGGGACTGACACGGCGTAAAGAATTCCACATGAAAAAAGAATGATGCCGCCTGAATATCAAGTATAACATTAATTAAAGTTTGACGTATTAATATTCTTTCATATTTTTTATCCCGTCAGGGGGAGTATGCAATTGATGGTTACTTTTTATGAATGAAAGAACGGGTGCTACAATTTTTTGCCTTATAATTTTTTTTTTCTTGCGAGACGGTCGTAAAGTATACATTTTAATTGGGCTAGAGTTTCGCGGATCTCCAAGGTGCACTCGAAGTTGCCTTTGTCATGAAAGAGCGAAAAGTCGGAAGAGTAGCAAGGCTTGCATTATTCCGAAGCATCCGAGATTCCGAGGAAACGATCGAGCCAAAGGGAATCGCACTTATTATTCAATTAACGGATTCTTATTATCCTCTTGTTGTCCAAACGGGGCGTATTCTCCCTGTTTTCCCCGCCGAGGGAGATTTATTTCAAAAATCAGCTCACCGGCCGCGAGATAATGGAACTCCCTCCCAGGCTCCACTTTATTCCCTCCCCCGAAGAGAAAATTCTTTATTAACTCGCGAAATTTATACCGGTGAATCGGAGCAAAGAGTGCTCCCCGAGTGCCCTGCGAGTAATACAGGCTCACAGATGTTGCAAACCATGGACCGTTTCTCATTTGCCATCTGCATTGCAAAGAGATCGGGCATTATTGCTTTCCGTAAAAAACAGTGCCTCCTCCAAAGGCATCAAAGGTGCTCCCCCTCAGAGCCACAATCCTCTCTATTAAATGATAAATGAATTCCCCATCTCGAAGGTACAAATTCCCCCGTAAAGTATTTCAGCGCTTTGAATCGGAACAACCTAAATAATCTTGGATAATTTAACGCTATCTGGCACCCCTTGTGTCTTTATGCAATACCGTACCTTATCCTTAAAAAGGTATTATAAATCATTTGTAACTTTATTTTATCGTTCATAAGTGAGGTGTCTATGATTCGTGCGGGGAGGCCGGGAGACTCGGGATTTTTTAGGTTAGGTCAACGGAACGTGTGCCTGCTATTGTCGTTATCAACCGCGTGATTGCGGATATGTCTCTCCTTTTTCCCGGGAAATCATCTTCGGAGAGGTCGTGCAGCTCGAAATAGACCCCAAGCCCAGAAGAGCCTCGAGGCTTTGCAGCCGTGACACCTGGTGCAGTTCATTTCCAACGCAAATCTCGCATTCGCACATGCAACTTGCAACTGCAGACAGGACTCGGAGAGATGGTCGTCCCTATACGGGTCACATGTGCACGAGGGTTGGGGTCAGAAAGGCCAGTGGTTTCCATACGAGGCCACAATCCTGCGAGATATAAAAAAGTCACGATAAGCCGTCTCGATCCTTCGCGATCTGGCATGAAATTTTCACTAAAAACCGATAATTCCTGAGATGTTTTTTAGATGCAATTTCATGGTATCAGGACCTTCCTTAGGACCTCCATGTTCACGTGATGAACATTCAAACGATTCGATGCACCTGTTTCGGGGAAATCTTTTATAGATAATCTAACGCTTCAGGGATCACTTTCACAACTGAATTAAAGAAAAGAAATTCCGAAGAGGCCCCCTTTTAGTCAAAATGCCGGGTTCCGGTCGCCTGAAGGCGTAACTGTTTAGGGTCTTTGTCGTAAAGAGTGCTTACAAATTACTGCGATATGAAGAGCTCAGCATACAGTGCTAAATTTGCAAAAAGTTCGAAAGCACTTCCTGGGGAATCAGGTGTCCTCCGAATTTCCCACAGGAAAGTGCCTTATCGTACCGACTACATACTCTCCTGTAATTGTTTCCAATCGGATAAAGGTTCTATAAACAATCTGACGTCCCACGGGTGAATTTGACATCGCCCTAATTAATGAAAAAAATTGTACAAAAACGCCCCTTTTACCCAAGGGGGCAGATGCGGATCGCTCGAAGGCGTCGGGGTCGCTTAGAGTCTTCGGCGTCGCGACGGCCACCGGAAGCGAATTAGCGGAGGCCGCGTGTACCGACGTCTAATAACATTTGAGCGGCGACCCGCGGATCTTGGGGCAGATAAAAACTCGTGCGTTTCATGCATATCACGACTTCGCGATCCCCAGGGTATGAGTTGTTACCCGAAGGCATGCACGCTGCATATGCATGCTCTTCCGGTCCCTCATCTTCCCGAGGGATCGGGTGCGTCCCCGTGGACGGTCCACCCCACGTCCTCCCCCGTGAACCGAGATTCGCGTCGGATTTCAATGAATTCTAAAGGTAACTTTCAAACCGGGCTCTCTTTTCCCCGCCGGCCACCGTGCCGAGGTAATTCCCCGTGTGCAAGGTGCTCTGCAGTTATGCAAATGCCCCCGGATCTTTATTAATGCCGCTGCCGAAGTCTGGGGGGAAATGTCTGGATTCTGCGGCGTGCGCGGAATTAGCCCGCGGGAAGAACGAGTCCGTAAATTCGTGGATTCGTAATGCTCCTCGACGAGTTCTCGAAACCGATTTCTGATGTCCCTTAACCCTTTGCCTTACGATTTAAATTCCAATAGCGCGTGCCATAAATAACAAAAATGTTGGTCATACATTGGGCCATTTCACGCGTTGGCTGAACGTTCAAAGTCTCACACGTTTTGTTCACGTTTGGCCCGATTCATATACCACGTCTCTCACACGATATTGTAAGTGAAGAGGGTAAAACTAGGGGCTTATCGATTTTAATTATTTCGATACCTTCAAGATCGGCTAGGCGACTGAAACTTGTATTATTGGAACATGTAAATTTCGGCAGTTAGGATCTTTTTAGGATATTCTTCGAAGGCGGCAAATTTTAGCACGCGTTATGGGATCCGTTTGATATCCTAATCTTACCTTCAAAAATTGTATTATACACTTATAACAAAATCTAGTCAACGATTTCGAGCGTATTTTTCAACCGAACGAGTTCAATGAGTACTCGATTTAAAGATAAAATCTTGCCACGGTATTTATGTGGAAGCGATTTTCGACAAAGCAACTCCTTCTTAGGTAAAAGAACATGCAAATTATGTTGTTACATTTTTTATATAAGAATAACCACTTATCGAAAATCGCTCCCATATAACCACCGGTCAAGATTTTATCTTTAAAATGAGCAATTGCGGAACTCGATCAGCTGACATGATGACAAAGTCTGTATAGTACGACTAAAAGATTCTGACTACTGGCGTCTGGTTGAACATGTAATTATCTCAATCGGATGCTTAAACTATTAGATAGGTATCTAGTAGGAAACTCTTATTCTTCAACCCATAAATTTCTCTTGGTTTATCAGGAAAAGTGTTAACGAAACCGGACAGTATTTTATTAAGAATATGATACTCTGAATCGAAAGAATAGTAAGGGCATACTTAACAATTTAATCTAGGTCAAATAACCGGAATTCTCGTTATTTTAATTGGTCTTTTCTTTTCTACGGGTCGGTGATATTGCCTGTTGTAATTTTGGTCAAACCATTTAGATGTCCGAACTGGTGCTCGAAATTATAATCGATGGACTACTGTCTCGCGCTCGTAAATCGTTCGATTAAAACTTTGCATCCCATCGAGCTTGTTACCCGATTCCTAAGATGATTATGAAGCTCACCTCCACTTTGGAAAGTTTCCTATTAACCTAGTAAACTTACGGGCACATCCGTTTGTATTTAGCGGAACTTATTCGTCTCCTGACGGAGTTAGTCGCGTGTACGTGTACTTGCGAAATAACCGCAGACGTATTCTACATCGGGAATTTACAACGCATAGCGCACAAAATACCATTTGTCTCCTGCAATTTCCATTATGCTCGTTTCGGGGCATCCCGTCTGAACAAACCCTGAGAATTACTACTCGACATCCTGACTATCTTGCCGTAGTTCTAATTCAATTAAATTCACCGCTCCCTCAAACGAACGACCTCCTCCGTGCAGATTTTCGCAACCGCTCATATAATTCCGCAAAATGTCAACCAACATAGAATTAAAAATACCGCCAATTTATTTATGTTCCCTCGAGGCCGTGTATAAAGTGTAAAATAATTTGTTATATTTTTTTCAGACGGCTGCGAAAATAAAAAGTGCGACCATTACGGAGAGTGCGAGAGCGACAGTACCGGAGAGGCTAAATGCGTGTGCCCCAAGTCATGCGAAAATGAGGTAAGTCTGTTAACAATTGCCATTGTCTATAAAAGTACCTATTATCTTGTAGGTTTTTATTTAAATTTCAAGAGTCCGGTTTTAATCGGCAGAAGAGATAGTTCGGTACAGCGGGGCGGAAAGAGATGAGAAGGACAAGAAGAAGCATTTTACAGGGCGAAAAGAAAAATCACCGCTCTCGAGGATTTTCAAAAAATCCCCTATCTGGCATTATCCAGGAAACGAGAATCTACACCGAGAGAATGCAAAGGAGAGGGTCTCCGATTCTCGTGAATTTCTTTTTTATCGGCCTTATCCTGAGACGCCGGATACGCGAGACGCGGAACTACGAGATGCCTGGTGGAGGGGAAAAAATGATTTTCATAAATAACTCGTCGAAGCGTCGAGGATCGATGTACCTTGGCGTCTATCTAGAATAGAATAGATACCCGGAGGATATCGTTACGAGGGAGATCCATCGATCGGTCGTTACGGAGACGGAAAATAAACGTGGCAGGGTTCACCGAGTGTCTTCGGCCGAGACATCCTCCGCATAATTCCGGATTCCTCTGAAATCGATCACCTGACATCTAATAATGACCGCGTTAAACATCAACTTCTCATGCACTCCGAGAAATTTTAACGTGACATTCTGCTCGACTTTATCAACTAAAAAATCAACAGCGAATTCCGTAACCTGTGCTTCTTCGATAAAGGCTATATTTTGTTTTATGGGAATTTTCGACGAGGATTCGCCGCAATGAAATCGTTAGAACGTCAGAAGCAGACGACGGTGCGCTAACATGTAATGGCCATAACTAAATTGAACATAAAATCGTGCTAAAGCGAAATAGTAAAAAAAAAATGTAAATATATTCTGCCGATCTACACTTAAAAATGGGGAGATAAGTCAAACCTACATTCATCGGAGAGGATTCGCCGAAATGAAGTCGTTAGAATATCGCTAGGGACCGTCAGGACTGCACCAACGTCAATGGTACGCCAACATCTAATGGCAATAACTAAATCGAACATGAAATCATGCTAAAGCGAAATAGTCAAAAATATATACAACTATACATCGATCTGCGCTGAAAAATAAGGAGAGATAAGCACAGCGACTTATTTCTTCGTCATTCATCGGAGAGAATTCGCCAAAATGAAGTTGAAACATTGCTAGGGGCAGTTATGGGTGCGCTAACGCCAATCACACGCCAACATGTAATGGTAATCACTAAATCGAACATAAAATCAAATAGTTAAAAAACTATACTAAAATAAAATAGTTAAAAAAATATACAACTATTCTATCGATCTGCGCTGCAAAATGGAGAGATAAGCAAAGCGACCTATTTCTTCGTCGAACCTACATTCATCGGAGACGATTCGCCGCAATGAAGTCGTTAGAATATCGCTAGGGACCGTCAGGACTGCACCAACGTCAATGGTACGCCAACATGTAAAGGCAATAACTAAATCGAACATGAAATCATGCTAAAGCGAAATAGTCAAAAAAATATACAACTATTCCATCGATCTGCGGTGAAAAATGGAAAGATAAGCACAGCGACCTATTTCTTCGTCAAACCTACATTCATCGGAGAGGATTCGCCGAAATGAAGTCGTTAGATGTCTCCAGGGGCAGTCAGGGGTGCGTCAACGTCTGCGACCGTTCCAAACGAGTCCGACCTCGAAGAAGTCCAACTGTCGAAGAAGGATGAGTGCCCGACGATGGGACGAGGATAGACGGGGGAAGAACAAAGGACCTCCTGGGGAGATGACGCGATGAAGCGGGAAAGGGGAGGAGTGGGAAAGGAGAAAATTCGGGGAGTCAGCACTTCGACGCAGGAGTCCGAAGGGGATGAGGCTCGCGGTCGGATTAGGTTTTGTTTGAGAACCAGCAGAGCCGGCGGGACGTCTCGTAGCGAGGCGTCCCGTAAACTTCCGGGGAATCGAAGACGCTGATTCGCGAGACAGTCGAGCGGAAAGCATTCCGCGGCGCTGATTGGTCCCCGGGAAAGACGCCGCGGGGGGTCGAATCGCTTTTCCCTCGAGAAAAGGGATGCGACCGCTCTAGATCAGACGCGGACAATCCTTCAGAAGAAGACTTTTCATCTCCGGGACTGGCACTTCCGCGTAATCGACTCTTCGCGGGAAAAAAAAGTTCCAAGACCCTGGAGCAGGCTTTTATATGTTTAATGCTAGATTTATATTTTTATATCGTTTAAATGCAATAGAAGAAAAAACGACTGGTGGAATGGAAATATTCAATAGGAAATTGGAGCATATAAAAGTACAAATAATATACAGAAACCGTGTACATGGGATACAAGAGTCGTGGTAAAATGTATATCGTACAATAAGGAAAAATTATTAGACTTTAATAAAGTCGAATGAATTGGACGCAAAGTTTCTTTGGAATTATGATAGTTTATTTGAGCTCATTTAAGCGAAATAACTATTCTTCAAATTAACCTAATTTTTCTTCGGAACTAAGCGAGAAAATATCACTCTGGTTGAATGAATGGTTCTTTCTCAGGGTATAAATGAACATTGGGATGCGGCCCATAAGTTGATCCCGATTAAATCTTGAAAATTTAGTCAGATCGTTTTCAAGGGCGAGGTACAAAAATTACCTGAACATTGGGAAGAAGTCGACGAAGGAGAATATATTGTTCAAATTTAGGTCTTATAATCAATTCCTTTAGATACGAAATAGAACGGAATGAGAGGATAGGACGTCCAAAGTGTATAATAGGAACCCTGAGGAAGCGCTTTTAATGAATTATAGGATATTTCACGGTTATTTATTTTCTTAATTTTTCCACTCGTTAAATGCAACGGCTGATGGGAAGTGAATATATTCCGGAAACCCGAGGTACATGGACAAGGAAATACATGAAAGGAAGAAAAAGCTGTCTGCGCTGAAAATCGCGGCAAAAGTACCGTCTCGAAGAGCCGCTCTCCAAAGACGGTTTCCTCTGCGGTATCGCTGCAGGGTGCTCCATTAACTTGCGGAGCATCAGAGACGTTGATTTGCGAGAGAGATAGAGAGAGATAGTCGAGGAGAAAGCATCTCTCCGTGCTGATTGGTCGCCAGGAGAGGCATCGCGGGGGGTAAACTGCTCGCGGCTTAAAAAAGGGGACGCCAACCTCCCTAAGCCAGACACAGAAGGAGTCCTCGGAGACAAGATCTTGTCACCTCTGGAACCTCCCTGTCGTCAATTCTTTCTAAAAAGTACTCTCTAAAGAATTACTGCGGCATGCAGTAATTTAATGCTAATTATAATCTTGTTTCGTTTTATCTCTATACCGGCTATTAAAATGTATACCTAAATTTGTGGACTCTTGACATTTCTTTTTTTAACATTATTTCACGCTTCAGAAGCCACTTTCGCGTTATCTTAATTAAAGAAAAATATTTTCAAAGAGTGGATTCTTCAGTCAGTTGTAGATCGATGGCGCAGGGGCCCTTTAAGGTTATCCTCATGAAAAGTACCCGCTACAATGAATTCACTGCGGCATGTATTAATTTACTGCCAATTCTAATCTTCTTTCGTTTTGTCCATATATTGGCTGTGAAAGCGAGGAGCTAAATTTAGGAAGACTCGTTCTACTTCCGTACCTATTATTAACATACGGCGCAGAATTTGGGAGAGTTCGAAAGCGCTAATGTTTCACGAGGATCAAGTGTCCTCCGAATTTCCAGCAGGGAGGACGAAATCGAGCCGCAGGAGAAGGTCGGTCAGAACGACTAAACATCCTCCTGTAATTTCCTCCGCAAACGTTATTCCGCCATCTCGGCCGGCTATTCTACCCGGACCGGGCATAATAACTATTACCCAGGTGCAACCACCACAAATACTCCGATCTCCAATTCCAATTAGAACTAATGAAGGCCCCGAATGGAAACACCCACCCAGTCTGGCAAGAGACTGCCGAGCCATGCTGACCAACAATAAAATGTTGTACACCGATATTTAACAAAAAGACATTGAAACTGTGACGAGTATCCTCAATGGAGTGTCCTTATGTTCCAGGTGAAGGATCTTTTCAACCCAACTAAAGTGTGCGGTACAGACGGGGTGACATACTCCTCGGAGTGCGCCTTGAAGAAGGCGTCCTGCGACTCCCAGACTCTCATAAAAATCAGCTACGAGGGCGATTGCGGTAAGCTATCTCCGAAATGAACACATGAAGTGGTAGATGAAGGAAGTTGCAAAGTTTGATAGCGGCTGGGGCTGCAAATTGTAGTCTATGATGCGAGGGCGGAGGTCTGGAAGGAGATCTGAACGCGATTTGGTGCTTGCAGAAATGTGCACGGACGTGAAGTGCGAACACGGGGCATATTGCGTGGCCGGTGCATGCGTGTGTCCGAAAACATGTCCGGAAGAGTACAGCAAGCCAGTCTGCGGCAGCGACTCCAAGACCTACTCCTCGGAATGCCGACTACAGGAAGCTGCTTGCGAGAGGGACCCAAAGCTGCCGAGCTTGCGAGTTATTTTCTACGGAGAGTGCGAGGAGAGATTCGCGGTTGCTGCCCTGAGTAAGATTTTGGAAATTCATGGGTTTTCTAGTACACCGAAAACCGATTGTCTTCATCCTTTGGGGATTTTAACAAAGGACTTGTACTCGTATCAAACGGTGTTGCGATGGAAATGACTCGATAAACATCCATGCCCGTAAAATACGTCGAGATCCTTTAATCCTTTGAAAAAGGAGAGATTCGCGGTTGCTGCCCTGAGTAAGATTTTGGAAATTCATGGGTTTTCTAGTACACCGAAAACCGATTGTCTTCATCCTTTGGGGATTTTAACAAAGGACTTGTACTCGTATCAAACGGTGTTGCGATGGAAATGACTCGATAAACATCCATGCCCGTAAAATACGTCGAGATCCTTTAATCCTTTGAAATACAGGTTTCCACAAAGGAATAGTTGATATCCATACAATCTTCATCGTCTTACTTTTAAACAATTTTTAACGAATGCACTCTCGACGTGGGATACAAATCATTATTATGGATCTCGGATTAATTAGAGGTAGATTTTTAAGGCCCGCGGAAAGTAGCAAGGACGCTCCAGAGGATTAAAGGACATTCCGCTGACTAACCGAAACTAACACCGTAACATCCTGGTATGATAACACGTCGAGATCCCATAACCCTTTGAAATAGAGATTTTTATTTGAAAATACTGACTGCCAATCAAATTTCGGTCATCTTATTTTTTATCAATTTTAAACGAGCGCAATCTCGATGTGGCATGAAAGCCGCTATTAGGACGGATTTGGATACTATGAATTTAGGATTAATTGGAGGTAGATTTTTAAAGCTTAGATAGCAAGTTCGATCCAAAGGATTAAGGGATCTTCCGCTGACTAACCGAAGCTAACTAACATCGTAGCGACAATGTCGACCCTCGCTGCCACAAGACTGACCACGATGGTGGAGGTGACCAGTCCTCAGGAGCGGGAAGCCTGCAAGGACATTAATTGCGATTTCGAGGCAACCTGCGAACTGGGGCCAGACAAGTACCCCACATGCAGCTGCAGATTCGACTGCGCCTCCATATCCCCCGAAAATATGCATCCCGTATGCGGGAGCGACCTCAGGACCTACTCGTCCTTGTGCGCCATGAAGATGGAGGCGTGCCAGAGGCAGAAGGAACTCAGACTTAGGCCTCTGGACCTCTGTCAAGGTTCGACACCTTTTGGAGTACTCGGAGGTCCTGGAGGACATCTCGATAAAACATTAACTCGTTCCCTATCCTGCATGAGTCCCTCGCGAGAAGCATGGACAACGCAGACCTTTTTTGCGATATATCATTGTCCAGGAAGGATTGCGATTTTACTACTCGACATTCAACGCTTTGTTTTCAAATAACATTCCTTCCCCTTGTGTCCCCGTTATATACTATTTCAGAGCCCTACAGATTTCGATAACAATAATTCCGTTTTAGATATTAATTTCTGTTTAATTCAGGCAATTTAATTGAAGATGGAAACGAAGAAAATTCGGGAGAGGAAACGTTCCGTATGACCTGCTACCATTGATGCAATAAGAACTGAAAATTATTACTTAAAACACAATTATTGTTATGAATATGTGGGACGTAGTCTGCACTATAAAATGGTATATATCAAGGGACGTGAAGGAAACACAACTCTATTTGAAAATTAAGCGTCAAATGTTGAGTGGCAAAGTTGCGGTAACCTTCTGGACAACCTAATAACGGAGTCAGGTGTTTAATGGTTGAACAATTGTAATACACAGGTATGGAGGTGAAACCATGTAATGGGGATCCCCCTTTGGTGGACCATGAGGGGAAGGAGTACGACTGTGGAAGCAGCCCGGAACGCAGGGATTGTCCCAGCAATAGCTATTGTCACCAAACAACGCGCTTCGCACGTTGCTGCAGAAAAGGTTCGAATTTCATGTGTTTGATAAAAAATTGCGTCCTCTTTAGTGTCGCCATTAAACGAGTTGTATATTTTCTTCCTGCTTGGACCCTGTTCGCCGGAAGCCTTGGTATCTCCTGCATGAACGTCACAGCGGATATTAGTTTCTCTCATGAGTTATTACTTGAAAAAGTGTAAAAAGAAGGCGACCTATAAAACCCTGGGTTCTCTTTAGCTCAAGGGGTTCAGGTGGTAAAGTGCGCGGATTCTTGGCACGGCTGCTGTCCCGATGGGAAGACCGCTGCTTTGGGTCCAGATGGTGCTGGGTGTCCCAGTCTTTGTGGCTGCAACAGACTGGGAAGTGTTTCGGACACTTGCAATCCAGAAACCGGTCAATGCGAGTGCAAACCAGGAGTGGGTGGGCTGAAGTGCGACCGGTGCATGCCTGGATACTGGGGCTTGCCGAAAATCAGCGAGGGTCATCCAGGATGCATACGTAAGGATCAAGGGTTACATTTTTAGTCGACGTACCTAGAGGCAAAAAAATATTTGGTGAATCAAAAAAATTTGTACTGGTTCAACCACAAAATATAGTTATTATATGTACACCCAAATATGTGGTTGACATGACTAAATTCTTTGATCAATAATTTCTTGTTGGTCACGTGAATAATGGTAGAACACGTTAAATATTAAAATGACTTGGTACATTTAACCAAAACCTTCGGTTTATTCAATGAAATATTTTCTGAAATTAACCAAATGCAGTCAATCAAATGATTTTGTTAAATGGACCAGATCTTTGGCGTGTAGCAAAAGCTTCAAAGAGGAGGATAAGAATTGCAAAGTCTAGTTTTCTTGTAGATTGGTAGAAATGATGTGCGAAATATACAATTAAGTATAAATGTACGCTGCAATTTAATTGTGAGATCTTTTTTCTAATTCATTATCGAGCATTTATGACCTGTGCTTTTCACAGCTTGCGGGTGCTCGCTCTTTGGATCCGTTAGAGAAGACTGCGAACAGATGACCGGCAGATGCGTCTGTAAATCGGACATACAGGGACAGAAGTGCACCATTTGTACAGATCATAATAAGATGCTTACACCCACGGGATGTTACTCAGGTATTTCTAGAAGACACTGGTGAAAAGGTTTAAAAAGAATCCGAAAATTTAACACCTATTCTCGGAATGAAAATGAAAATTTAGACTAATAATTTCTACGTTTCTGGGTCCGATTACCTACTTTTTACCGCGTTTATAGATTCATATAATGAATTTTATTACCGCCCTTAATACCTTTTTACCAGGGCCTGTTACTACCCTTAAGTTTTCTTTCCTTATCCGTCTAATAACTTTCGCAACATTTCCCAAATATCCTTATCATCAACACATGTTTCAACAGCCCTGCTATGCATTCTTATGTTTATACGTAAACAACGAAATATCCATCATAAAATTTAAAATATTTCTGGAACGTATTTAAAAAAAAAAAGACACATTAAAAGATGTCCCCTTTAATTCGGTGTCGCAAATTTAGAAAGGGTTTACTTTTTTGTATTCCCCTGAGACCCTGTGCAGGCTCACTAATTTCCAGGGTTCCAATTTCAAAATTTTGTCGAAATTGTAAAAAAAAATAAACTGGAAGAAGGATTTTTGACAGCGCTGATTTCTAGCTTCTGAAATTTGCGACCAGTTTAACCTTTATTCTTAACCTTATGTTAATAAAAGCTGATGGTTCATAAATTCACTTTCTTACGTTCTTAGCCGTTCATCCTATGTAACGATCTGTCTACAGATCGATATTAAGTATGTGAAAAAAAAAAGGGAAAAATGAAATATACTATGTCAGAGCTAACGTATCACCTCTGTTCGCAGCGGATACCATACCACCGATCCCCATGAACTGCAACAAGATGGAATGTTACTCCGGAGGACACTGTTCGGAAATCGGAGGGCCTCATTGCGTTTGTCCGTCGTCGTGTCCTGCGGACATTCCGTCGGTCCCTGTTTGCGGCAGTGATGGGCAAACGTATGACAACGAATGCGAACTACGGCTCTACGCCTGTCGCCATCAGGCCGATGTCGTAACTCAGGCCTTCGGCCATTGCAGAGGTGGGTTTACAGAACGAGCGCCGTACAGAGCCCCATACATCCTGCGCTACTAAGTTCTTCCTGAACCTCGATCCTTGCGTCGAAGGATCCAGGACTAATAACCGCGTAAGGGATTTAAACGATAGAGAAGGGCTTACGAAGGTTGGCAGGGTTCGATCTCTTGGACGAAGACGTCTTCTGGCGTCGTAGGGTGTTTCTGGTCGTCTTCTTGTGTCTTCATGGTGAATTCGCGGATGCGTTGATCTTTGTTAACTAGGCAGAAGCGTTCTCGTCTAGGGATAGGAAAACTAGGTCGTATGAATGTGGTAGCTCTCCATGGACAGTCCTCGCTGGACTGCCGCGATGCGAGTCTGCATTTACTTAACCTGCGCCTTTGTATCCACTCCAGATAATAAACTCTTAGTTTTTACTAACATTGCATACCTTAATGTCCCACACCTTGCTGCACCTTAATGACCCATGCACTTCGTGGTCTGGCTCGAACTCGGAATTCAGGTGGGAAGGCGAGGAAACGCTCACTTTCAATTTACAGGACGATGCCCACTTGAAAGTACATACCTGAGAAATATATTAAGGATCATCAGACATTATTTTGCAAGCGCTTCTTGCTAAATTTCATGTACCTCATGATTTGGTTCGAAGTCCGAAATCAGATAGGAAGGCAAGAAACCGCTCGACTTAAAATTGCAAGACGATGGAGGCATGAAAGTACATACCTGAAAAATATTTCAAGGACCTCAAACATTATCTTAACAGAGCTCTTTGCAAAATTCCATGTACCTTGCGGTCAGTTTGGAAATTAGATAGGGAGTCGACAAAACCGCCTGTTTTCAATTTAAAGGACAATGACGACTTGTGAAGTATCTCAAGAATCATCAGACATTATTTTCCCAGAGTCCTTTGCAAAATTTCAGGACATGTTTCGGTATGCCGTTGAATTGGTGATGAAAAATCGTATCATCGAGCTGGTGGTAAATTATATTTTCCCTCACGATATCACCAAGGCAACGAAAATCGATTCGCCCGAGGACAAGCAGACACCGAATTGAGAATCCCTTCCGAGGATAACAATTTGAGGCAACCTGGGAACAAACTGCAGAACTCGATAAGGCTCGATCGAAGGGAAATAAAAGGAGGTATTACGTGTAGACCTGCAGCGGACTATCAACAGACGCGAAAGAAGTTTTCCGCAGTCAGGGGCTGATGAAAAGGGGAGCAGGACGACTGCTGCACGGAGTCCTGGCTGGAATCTATTAAACTTGAGGACTATTTTGGCTCTGCCTTATTTTCGATCGCTTCCGTCCCAGGGAGTCGATCTTTTAAAAAGTTCCCGGTGCAAATTAAACATAAATTAGATTGCAAGCTCGAAGTTGATCCGGAGTTTCTGCGGCCCTACGGAGATCCTGCGGAAGTCCTGCGGCGCGTCTTTCAGGACGTCCAGGACTTTCGGACTTCCGGCGCCTCGCTTTCCCAGGACTCGCAGTCGCCATTCCGGCCCTTTTAAATAATGCATCACGTAATTTGCCAACGCCGGGAAAAAGGATGACCGAGGACCCGGGGAAGAGGCTGCGACGCTAAACTTCCTTCCCCAAACCGTGGGGAAGGCTTCAAGGGATTCTTTGATCCTTAAATACCAAGAGTGCCCAAAAAGTGAAGAGATCCTGCGAGTAGCGACGAAACGTTTTAAACTTCGGCAGAAAATATGATAAACATATTAGAGAGTGATGGTGCAGTAAATTAATAAGCTGCACTTGCAAGACGCGAAAGAAACATGGCCGCTTGTCACGTGACAGGCAAGTACCAGGAAAACTAGGATTGCAAAATTCATGTGCAGCAAGAGTGCTGCGCAAATGTCGCCGAATGCCCAACACGAGCTGCAATTTCCTTTTATCGGCATACAACTGTCAAATTTATCACCGGGCGCACTAGAATTGAAGATTTATTGGGAGATATTGAAATTGCTTTAATACAACAGAGGCGACCGGGAATCGATGCCGAAGAGTTATCAACGGGCCGAGTGTAACGGAGATGTGGAGCACTGAACAGCTCGGTACATGAGAGGAATACGTAAAGAGTAATTTGACAAGTACTAACGGACAAGATTCGGAAAGAAATGTATTGATCATTTCGCTGATCATTCAGCTATTCGTATAAAAACTTCACAAAATGTCGACTTCAAGGAGGATATTAGGAAATGAAAGGTATCGCTTTTAATTGGAAAGAAATTAATTAAAGTGACAACTAACGGAAGGGGAGTTGGGGATATTAATCATATTTACACCGGATATGAATGGGATATGCATGAGAGTCCTTCCTTGGGAAGAAGAGAAGGGTAAAGGTAGCTCTTTTGAAAAAAAAAAGGAGTTTTTTAATGTACACTTTATCCAAGTTTCCGGTGTCATCCGAGAATAAATAAATAAACGGGCAGGTCGTTGTACAAATAAACGGGGGCCGGGAAAAAGTGGCGGAAGTCGACGGGAAATAATAGGAAGCTAGGCGAAATTGAAAAGTAATTAAAATCCCATCAAGCTCTGCAAACTCTCCGTGGAAAACGGACCTGAAGAGCGCTGCACCCACCTCGGACATAGCCCGAGAATTATTATTTTCCTAGCCGAAATTTCAGGGGAATTTCAAGGGATTTCACAGGCTTCCGCTGGATTTTACCTAAATTTCGTCGAAAATGTCTAGGGTGAGGCAGGGGCATTTTAAATATTCTTGCGATCCCAGATAGTCGAAAGTTCCCTTAAACTCCTCATTTCGTCCCCCCGAGTGATATAAATACGAGAATAACATTAATGACTAAATGGAATACGATATCGAATGGTATTTCCATTGAAGATTTTTTGCTTCGAGCTTCTGAGTTGACTTGCAAACGAGACAAGGATTTTCAAAGAATTCTCCGGAGAACGTTTCTAGTGCATACAAGAAATCTAGGGTAAATTGCCTTCGATGTTCCTCTGGAACGGCCAATCAGAACACCCTAGAAGAGACGACTTTAGGATTCGAATTTTCGATCTTCCACGTAAACGTATGCAGAATTCAGATTCCAGTTAACGCTTCCCTCGAAGGATTCCTTCGGACTCCATTACTGGATATTCAATTGACTGGCGTGTTACCATAATTCAGGCTAACTCTCTTAAGATTTTCCTCAAATTTATTCTGGAGAAACAATTTCGCGCAGCGATTTCAAACAATTATATGTAAATCGCGGTTTAATCCAATCGAAAGGGTCGAATGTCACTTTAATAAAATAAACGTCACGGAGGTTCTCGGTATTTTTTATTCGATCGGTAGAAATTATTATTTGAGTAGAATAGGAGGAAATCTTTCGGGTAAAATTCTGTAATTTTAAGTGGAAATTTTTAGACATTTCAAAGAATCATTTGGTGAACACGGACGTCCCGATGAAAAGATACGCAGCCATTTAATTATCATAATTCAGGCTAACTATCTCAAGAATTTCCTCAAACTTATTCTAGAGAAACAATTACGCGCAGCGATTTCAAACAATTATATGTAAATCGTGGTTTGATCCGATCGAAAGAGTCGAATGTCACCTTAATAAAATAAACGTCGCGGAGGTTCTCAGTATTTTTTATTCGATCTGTAGAAATTATTATTTGAGTAGAATAGGAGGAATTCTTTTCGATAAAATTCTGCAATTTCAAGTGGACATTTTTGGACATTTCAGACGATCATTTGGTAAACACGGACGTCCCGATGAAAAGATACACGGCCGTTCAATACACGCAACCAGCAGCGGCCATTTCGCCCCTGTCGAAATCCACGAGGCATCTTCTGGTACCAGAACCAGACCCACGGTACTATTATACCCATCGGGCCCATCAAGAGACCATTACCATCGATCGGGACAACCTTAAGCACGGTACCAATCTCCACACCCTCAAGCCTGGTATTTCAATTCGAGTTTAAACTCCGCACTCGGTTAAACTTGCGAATCGCTCGTGATTGACTAGCACTATTACGGTTAACCACTAATTCGCGAGTTTAATTGAGCAACCACTTTAACTTTACCTGAAACTCTATTGATACAAAGACTTCAAACTTGTCTCGTCATTAGCCCGATGAATGACATTAAATGACTCATAATCGGAGCGAACACTTTATAATCGCAACATTAATTAATTAATATTACATTAATTATATCAAGCTGAATTTCTAGTCATTGCCTCGATTACTTACACTGAAACATTTTTCTTTGAATGGAATTAAAGAAACTATAGCATGAAATCAAAGAAATATAGCCTTTACTAAAAAATAACGAATATCTGACTCTGATGCATTGATCGAATACTTCGTATCTTGAAATAATGAAATAAGAAATCGACTTTCATTCCTTTAACTCCATTCGTAGGAATAATTTCCTTGAAAGAAAAGGAACAATTTTTTATTCGGACTTTTTATTTCTTATCGCATCAATAGCCCATACAATACTTTATGTAATAAAAGCATGGGTTGCGCCTCTTTTTGTGCATGCGCGGAGTACAAATATAGGCACTTTTTTCGTTCTAAGACGTTTTGAGACTTTTTTTGCCCTGCCCCTTTCTGTGTTTTCCACAACCACTCTACTCCAATTGTTTTCATCCTTTGTCGCAAAAAGGCTAACTTTAGATACCAAAGATAGTCGCAAAAAGACATGTAAACCATGCTTACGTTATATAAAGAAGTTCTTTCTTAGTACATAGCCATATATATATTTACATATTCACATATCACAATTAGTGCATAATGAAAATGACTAAAAAATTCCAGGAATAGCAGCAGCTTCTAGACCTACTCCGGCAACTATAAGAGTGGTTACTGCACTTCTTGGTGATCTGTGCACCGACGACAAGGACTGCACGATTTCGAATAGCGAGTGCATGGATGGTGGATGCATTTGCATAGAAGGATATTCCGAGACGAGCGACAGGCAAGAGTGTTTCGGTGAGTCTTCGAAAATCTCGACCTCGAGGTATAGAATTTCCCCAGGTACGCGATCTCTCGTCCCTGGAGCGTCAAAATCGACTTCCCGAATTTCCGTGCAGCTGCGATCTCAGTAATCAGGGTGTGCATAGGTCCGTTCTTGTTCCAGCAAACAATGCCCCGGTAACACCTACTGAGGAATTCCGGGCATGCCTCTCGTATCCATGTCACGCATCATCTACGTGCATTGACCTACCCAGCGCTACATTTGTATGCATCTGTCGGCCAAATTATACCGGGCTGCTTTGCGACGAAGAGATCAACAAAAGGGACTACGAGATTCCGTTTTTCGACGGGAAGAGCTACGTCAGGATGAGCAGACTGAAGGCCTACCATAAGTTCAGCATTGAGGTGGAGTTCAAAACGTATGCCGACAATGGCATCATTTTGTATAACCAGCAGAAGAGCGACGGCACCGGAGACTTCCTCTCCTTGGCCATCGTCGACGGGTAAACCTTTCATCTGAATGTGTATAAAAAATAATTCCAATATTTAAGGTGATGCGGAAGCGACATCCGAGGGGCCAATCGTTTATGAAACTTCTTTCCGAACTGGGTGTACCGCATCCTTTGAAATTTTACCATAGGAACATGAAGGACCTAAAGAAGGTCTGGACACTCGCGAAATTGCATCTTTATATAAGAATTTACACAATCTTTTGTAAAAATAGATTAATCTAGGGAAATTCAAGTGCCAGGACCTTCCTTGGTGCCTGCATATTTACGAGGTAAAATTTAAAATGATTCGGAGCACCCAGTTCGGAGAAATGTTTCATAGATGAGATCCCTTGAATGCATCTTGGAAAAACCTTTGACGCCCATAGTAATTGACAATTTTGGGTAGAAAAGTCAGGTTTATCGAGATCGTTCATTTTTCTGCAGATTTGTGCAGTTCAAGTACAACCTTGGAAATGGGCCCGTGGTCCTGACGTCGCCGAAGAAGGTCACCATGAAGACCTACCATAAAATCGCCGCGAAAAGGTACCACAAGGACGGCGTTTTGATATTCAACGACGCCGAGGACATAAACGGCCAAAGTCAAGGGATAATGAAGTCGCTGGATTTGAATCAAGACACCTTCGTCGGAAACGTGCCAACGAATCACTCGAAGTAAGCCAAGAATTAGAGACTAAAGTTAATTGATGAAATTTGTCGAAACGTTTCCTATTTTAAATTTCCGGGGCCACTTTCAGGGTGTACGAGAACATCGGCACGAACCATGGGTTGCTCGGATGCATAAAGAAGCTGAAAATCAATCGACAATCCGTGGATCTGCACATGGGACAGCAAAAGGACATCCTGGAGGTCTACAGGGTAAAGGAGTGCGGCGACAACGCTTGTGCAAACATTCCCTGTCAAAATGGAGCGACCTGTCAGCCGATATTCGAAGAGGACCTTTGCAACGGCAGAGAGTGCAGACGGACGCACAAAAGAGGAAAAGGAAAGCACAGGAATAACAATAACGGAGTTAACATCGTCAGGTGCAAGGGATCCCACTGCACGTCCATGGAGACCAGACGTAGATCAAGGAAGAACTCTAAGAAACGGTGTACGACTCCCCATTGCGACTACGACTACGATTTGGAGTACGAGAACAATTACAACCGGGTGGAGAATTACGCCGTAGAGAAATACGAGCCCCAGGATTACAGATGCATATGTCCACCTCAGTACACGGGTCGCAATTGCGAGGAATCATTGGATCCTTGCATGGACGAGCCCTGCCAACATGGTGCCACTTGCGACATCCTGCCCCAGGGAGGATACATTTGCAAGTGTCCTCCGGGAAGAGCCGGGGAACACTGCGAAATTTGTTAGTATTAATTGCTCGTGGCCTAGGCGATGTTATTTGCCGGTTGTTGGGGAGAGACGTGCATTTTGTGTAATTCATTTTTTTCTGCACAGTGGACGCGGAACTGACGGAGTTGCTGGTACCAGAAATGGCGGGCGATGGGTTTCTGGAGCTGCCTTGCCTCGAAGGGGTCGCCAAAGCGTTCTCCATTGAATTATGGTTCTTGTCCAGAGCCAGCGATGGTCTCTTGCTGTACAATGGTCAGCTAAATAACGGACGGGGAGATTTCATTAGCCTGAATCTGGTTAGGGGCCGGATGGAGTTTCGATTCAATCTGGGCAGCGGAATCGCCAACATTAGTTCTCCTGATCCAGTTAGTTTGGACACTTGGCACTGCGCAAGGATCAGTAGATTAGGGAGGGAAGGACTTTTGCAGTTGGATGATGGGACTGTGGCTAGGGGCCTGTCTGGGAGTCCTTTGACGGAATTGAATCTCGAGATGCCTTTGTACATCGGAGGCGTCAAGTATGTTCTTTCAAATTGTATTTCTCTTTTTTGATTGCTCCGATACTACTAGAACTGATATTTTTAAACGCCGCTTTGAAATTCAGGCATTGGAGGGAGGTGCATCGATTAGCTGGAGCTTCTACGGGACTGGTCGGCGCCGTCCAAAGGCTCATGGTGAATGGCAAAACTCATCAAAACTTGGCAGTGAATATCACCCAGCACAACACAAAGATTTACGACGGCTTACCGTGTCCCAGCAACGAAAATCCCTGCCACAATGGCGGAGTTTGTCTGCCTCTACTCAACAGCTATCTCTGCAAATGTGCGAGCGGATACAACGGCCTCCACTGCGAATTCTGTTAGTGTCGATCGTCCGTCACTTAATACATAACTTTTGGAAAGGTTTGGTACTAAAATATTTTCCCATACCTTTCAGTCATGGGATACGACGTCTCGGGCGGTGAGATCGCAGAGAAACCGGTGCGCTTCAACGGAAATAATTTCCTGCAGTTCAGACATCGCTACGGGAGGAGGTGAATAATTTACTTAAATAGTTTATCGCATTCCATTTAACGTAAAGTAGAGGTCTGTTGGACGGAAATTGCTAATCAAAAGCACTAACTACCTTCTATTTGCTTTGCAATCTCTCAGTCCTAACATTACTAACACGACACTCGGCGAGTACTATGAAGAAAACTACTCCGATTACGATCTTGAGGACGATATCGATGAAGAGTATGAGAATTACGATTACGCCGAGTGAGTACCAGCTCTTGCTAATCCCATCTTAATGCGCTGAATTAAGATCCTCGCCAAATTACAATGTTTCGCACTGAAAAAGAAATTTTTCTTTTCTTTCAATGAAATTATTTCCTTGAATGAAAAACAAATATTTCTTTGGAGTAATTACACATTATTTCTACCCCGAAACCCTGTTATTTGATCCAAATGAGTATTATTCAAAGAAATCATTTTCCTTCGATTAAAGAAATTGTTTCCCGAGGTGTTTCGTTTTTCTTTTTTGTCTGTAATTAGGGAATATGAGTAATTCTATTTAGGATCCTATCCCCGAAACTGTGCTTACAAGGACGTAACCCACTGTTAATAGGTTTCGGGTAAGCTATTAATTCCATTTCATTAAAGTTACTTAATTCGCAGGCGAAGGGAACAACAGTCAAACAAGTTCGAGCTGAAGTTACGAACAACGCACTCCGAAGGTCTCATCGCTTGGATAGGTCGGGGCAAAGCTGAACATCTCTCGCTGTCCTTACAGGGAGGTTACGTGGTCCTCTCCTACAAGAGCAAGAACGAGCAGATTTCCCTGAAGAGTCGGGTACGTTTAACTTAGTCCATTAATTCCATCGACATACTGCGTACATGCTGCCCCTTCGGCACGACCCTTGTCCGGTATTACACGACTGCGCAAATTGAGGAGGCCATAACCATTACGCGTACCACGGAGATACCGCAATGCGTTAGTCGGGCAAAGTGTAATCAATGAATCCTATCGAACAATTGAATGAGAGAAATTGATCAATCTGGTACCCTCTGCCCCACCAATCACAGTTGCACAACGTTTGTAGAGTGTAATGTACACACACGCAACATGTACGTAAGATTTATATTACTATTACGCAGCTATACAACACTGCTATAAAACGAACGACGTAATAAATACATAACATGTCGGTAACGTGTTATATGTTATGTTGATACTATATAACTGCAATACTGAGAAATTTGTAAGAACGGTAATAATTCCGATATGTATCATGTTATTCCAATGTTATGTAGCTGTAACATAGGGTGCGTAGAGGGACAGTGATCTTTGACGCGAAGATGAAAAGTAAACGGTCACTTCAGGAAATACGTATTAATTTGGTATATTTTTCTCCGCATGATCGATGGACTCCGCTTTCTTTTCTTAGGAAAGAGTGGATGACGGACAGTTCCACCACGTGAGGGCGTCGCGACGCCGACGAGCGACCATCGTTCAAGTGAACGAATCAACGCCTGCCAAGAAGTTAATCGAAACGACGCCATTGATGACCAACGGGAAGCTTTTTATAGGCGGGAAGCCGGGACAACGGGGTGTCAAAGCTTGCGTGACGGACTTTGTCGTCGACAAGCGTCGCGTCCAACTAACCCGGCGGAAAGTCGAGCTGTGTCATGACAACGACGTATGATAGCGCGCCAATAACGAGGGTGTCATCGAAGAGTCATCGAACGACGGATACGCCTTCGTCGGTCGCACGACGCCGATCGCCGAGGCTGTGGCCGGAAGTTAACACGACAACTCCGAAAAGTATTATGAAGAAACCAAAATGGCGTCGGCCAAGCATCGAAGGGCAACGGAGGAGGCGTCGGTACCGCAATGACGGCGAAGACTGGCTACTATGGACGCACAATTAAGCCACGAATTACGGTAGACTTTGGGATAACCAAGGTAAACCGATCTTCGGAAGGGTCAGAGGTGTGGATCACCCGAAAACGGGCCTTCGAGGTACCCAACCCGAGAAAATCGAGGAGGATCGACCCCACGTTGCGGCGTATCGGAGTTCCGTCTCGTTTCAAGATGGCGGGGTGGAAACGCGATGTAGCGAGCCTCGTCGAACGGGGCGACTCAAGTGCTAGAGTTTCCATCGAAGGACAATAATTTACTATTAAGCTCGAGGTTAAGAGATTCGATATTAAGCGACCCATAGGCCGAGCTGATAGGACGCGCGCCTTGAGTTCGTGACACGATTCGTTCACTTATGAACCGATTCTGACCAATGACACCTGACGAGCGGAACTGCGATGGCACAGAGTGTTAATAATTAGCCCGTCGTTTAATTTATCGCTGCTCGTTGCGTGAATGGGAAATTGTGTTACGAGGTTAGGGTGCGGAACCGGTGTCCGGGAAGTTAAGTAAGCCTAAGACGACGCTTCCAGGAAAGAAAGATGGCCGCGTCAAGACTGATCGATGTACCGGGGACGGACGGGAATGCCGTAAATAAAGAAAATCGGTGTTATGTTTGAGTGTTCGGTAGAGAGATTTAACATTGTGGATTAACTGAATAGAGATGTATTTTAACGGACTGTTGATTTGTGCCGGTAGTCTACATTGTTTACCGTAGATCAAGCTTTTCATAAACGCGCAAAAAAGAGTAGATTATATATAGATATTATAAATATGGATCTTATATATATATATATATGCATATGTATACATGTATACATACGCGTGTCTTATATATATACATATGTATACAGACGTGACATTCCACTTAATGGGCTCTAAATGCCGCGGATCGCGGAGCTGTACACGAAATGGTATTAACAAATGCGGGCAATTCCTGTTTAACGAGTGAGTGCGACACAATGAGCGGGCGTAAACCCTGTACATATAACGACCTATGCGTTAAGCCTGCGATTACGAATTAACTCGTGATTTAAATAGATCGTACGAACACTCAATAATCTACCTAGCGGCAGTAACGACCCAACGATCATCATCGGATTTGCCTTTCATACGTTTCACGGCTTAACGTCCTCCGAGGACTTATGTGTCTGCATGTCTGCATGCGTTCGCCGGCATTAAAATTCGGGGTACTTTGCATATTTTCGAGCGGCAAGTCCCTGGAACGGTTCTCCTCATTTTCGGATCGGGAATCTCCGTACGTCACCGAGGACGTAACTTTTACGAGGTAGGAACAGGATGAACGAATAAATAAGTAAATATGTATACATGTTTTTCCATAAAGTGCGAAGGGTGTAAGCGGTTCCGGGACGAGGCTCGGTTGAAATTCTCTTCCCATTCGTCGGGACGGGAAGATCGAAAGAAGTTGATCTCGTGCTCGGTAAGAGGATGTGGAATAAGTACTCGATGTAAAATATTTTTAACCGCAAGCTCTTCGCACTCGAGCTTCGACGTTACGAGATCTGCCAGACCCCGCGTGCGAGAATTGCGTTAAACTCCGAGGTTTAAATTATTTTTAATATACTCATTTGAGGGTCGAACTGTATACGTACGCGTGATGACGATGACGAATAGCGATTAGGTTTGACGTAAGGGTGCAGAGAGAGAATATTTCTTAAATTAAGACGTCCTTATGTTAAGGGTGAGATCGATACCTTCTTGTTTTCTACCGACGTAATTATACTCTAGGTAATGTTAATGCAAAATACTCGAAGTCGCGACCTAACTCGCAAGGCGACCTATACATATATATATATATATCTAGTATATACCGAGAGCTGTTCTATGATAACGATATACCAATATATATATTTCGAGAGTGTCTCACGAAGTAGGATATATCTAGAGGACATGTGGACATGCCAGAAAAAAAGCCGCGAATATCCTTCAGGATATGTTCTGCAGCGACGTGTGCGAGCTTTTCGCCATTGTTGCATAAGGAATACTCTAATTAGCCGGTAATATTATTTAAAGAGATTATACAAAAGAGGGGAACGCTCGATGTGGTTTTTCCAGGACTCGGATAATTGTGGAAAATCATCCGTTATCCATTTAAAAAGTGTCGGCGGGATGGAAAAAGGGAATTTGGAGATGACAATTTTCCAAGCTTCTGTGGCGTTTCATTTATAGTATTCTAGACCATCGTCTCGTTGTTTTAGATGATATTCGATCGAAACGGATCAAAAGGGAAAAAAGGCGTAATAAGTAAGGGGAAAGAATAAGCAATTTTGAAGGAATTCTTTGCATTTTAGTGATGTTTTTGTGACGTTTCGTTAAATCATTCGTTGTACAATAGGCAACATAATTTCTTTGGCTTTGCACAATAATTTAGTCTTTTGAAACTAAAAGGATTGTGTTGCCTGTCGTATGGTGCTAATACTTGGACGAGACCAGTAAAAAAGCTTAATAAAATAAAATCAACAATCCACACGAGACCAGTGAAATCTAGTTTTACGTTGAAATTTTCTACAACAATTTAAATCGCTCTCGCAATACCTTAAAGGTCGGAAGAAGAATATTCAGGGAGACTTTTTTACCTGCAGTTTTGATAATTTATTTATGCACCTTTCTAAGTGGCAGAAAGGATTTACTCAGTTTTACGCTTTATCGATACATCGAGGCGTGTATTGAAATACATATCGAGATTACACAGACTACCACGACGTCCAAATGATCGGCTAGAACAAAACAAAAAGCGGTAATCGTGTTTCCGGATGCACGTGAAATGAATTAAGCATGTTTATCATTGATTATCGATCGAAATGAAAAGGATGAAACACCTTCAAGGACTAAATATGTAATATTAGAAGATCCTTGAGATACTGAAATTTATGAAATTCTGCGCCAATGTGGCGACTTTACGAGCTTCACCCAGACTTTGGAAAAGACTTACTGGAAAAGCGTGAATTATGAATTCCGCGCGACTCGACGCCAAAGAATGGTCGAGGTACAGGAAATGACATTTTCGGATGAGAAGACTATACTACTGCCAACCTAGTTAGGATGGATGCGTTAATTTTCGTACAAAGTGGGAATTTCGGCCCGACCGCCCCTCGGGATTCCGTGGTCTCCGGAATGGTCAGGGAATTCCTTTTCGCCGAAATTCGCCCTCGTTTTTTATTTTTTATTTTTTATTTTTTTTTTATTTCGAAAGCGTCGACCATCGCGCGGGTCGCACGCAAGTATACTGCTCTTAATTAATTTTTTACTTTGATACCGTTTAATCGCGACTGTAAATGTCGCGACACCTAAGGGAGCCACACTTGTGTAACAAAAATGCGCATTGTAAAGTGACTGTATATAAATATAAATTATGCGAATATCTCGAGACGGTCCTCTTTCATCTCTCGGTACCTTTAGTCTCTGTTATCCTGCAATGAGTAAACATAGTATGCGTTATTAATCATATTTATAATTGTAGATAGCACCATTGCGCGTTTGTTTCTGAACAATTAGTCCGTTTCTTTAATTTTACACTATTTTCGTCGCCGGTAACTATTGTTCCCTTAGCAAATGAACCGCAAGATGCAGTCGATAAGTACTCAGCTGAAGTGGAAGATAACGTAGACCGCGTTATTACAAACTCGGTCGGTAATGAAACTTCTGAGATCAAATTTAATTGGAAAAAAAATTCAAAATATACCATATGCCCTGTCTTTTTTAATCCTTGAATTTGAAACATTAAATATATTGTTAATTAATTGAGAAACAAATGCAATAATCAACGCATGATAACAGCGAAAACTGCACTGAAACGCAGTTGGTACAATTGAGGAGTACTCCAACTCTTCAAGAATGCGTTCAGATGTCACTTCTAGTACAATTTTCAACGTCGTATCAGATATACGGAACAATAATGTGCCTTAGTTGAAATAAAGTGTATTAATCACTGTTTGAATAATGCTCGAGGGTAGTGGAATTCCAGAAGTTTGAAAAATTCAGTTTTATTCCAATTAATCTATGAATATCACATTTCCTGAAATTACCATACAATATTTACAGTCCCTTATCACTCGTCTGGCACTCACACTCGCACGACGTACTAATTGTTGGATAATAAGTAACAAATTATCGATGGTCAATCGGCTTCCTCGAATTTGTACATTCCTTCGCGGCTTAAGGGCGCCGCTTCGCGCGATGAATGTTTCATGAGAATGGTTTGAAAAATCGGATTCCTTTTATATAATTAACTATGCGTCTCCGCTTCGATTTCTTGCAATCTCTCTCTGAAGGACTTCCTGATTTCCGCGATCGGTTTCGTCAGGAAAATGGGAACGTGGTCGTCTCTCCTCTGAAAACACGGAAAAAAAACGTACATATGAGTATAACATTACAAAATAATATGCTAACACATTATTTCCTCAAAATGGGTTCGCAACTAATTTCTACTCGTTTTAAAGAAATAATACGTGAAAAGGTCTCATCGCCAGTTAATTTTGGTTTTAAATTTAATTAGAAGCGTTTTGTCAAATTTAAAGATACTAATGGGATTTACTAAAACACTCAGCCAAAATGGGGAATGTAAAATACTTACTTGGAATAGACATTCTCCCTCAAATTCGACGAGCTTTTGCTTCCTGGCTCTTAGAAGAAGGCCCACGCATTTGTCGCTGACGTACGTGTAAATGTTGAAGAGATCACCGAAAGTGATGCCGATGATTTCTGGTTGGTCGCGGCAAGGGGTGCCATTTTGATTAATAATCTCGCAAAGCTCGAGAATTTCTCGTAGAATGTGTGCGGATGCTTTTCGACCTCGGATGTCGGAAAGGGATCCAGCAGCAGGCCTGATAAAAGAATAAATAATAAATGCATAAAGGACGATATAACAAATTCCTCGTTGCGAGTAACAACCATCCAGTACGTTCTTTAGAGGGTCGGACATGCGTCGAATTATCGAGCGCTCTAAATGACGTGGAAGAGGATTAATTATTTAATTCTGAATATTAAGTTACTTTCTTTACCTTCCGTACTCTTCCTTAGAGAATTTTGGCTTTTCAATATTTATGCCGGACGTGAAGGGATTCTTTTTCTGACCATCCATGTGCTTGTTGGCTTGCTGATTGAACAGCGCTACCTTGTCTCCCAAAGATTCCTGAAACACGATCGAAATGTTTCATTTATTAACCACTCACTAATAAAGAAATATGTAAAACATATCGTGATATTCATTCATACTATTTTTGATATTATTACATGATGGGCACAACTTATTTCACCTTCTACTTCAACAAAGCCGAAGCACTCGCAACAAAGCGGTTGGGCGGTATCGAATAAAAGTGCGCGGTATAAAGGAACTGTTAAACAATAAAATTACCATCGGCAAAGGCATTTAAGAGACATTTCAATTTAATTAAGTCGGAGAATGCACGCGTACTGTGAAACGCGTACGTTCTGGATCACTCTTCGACACAGAGAATCACCTCCAACAATTTCAGGGAAGTGCGCTCTCAGGGAGGGCTCTCATTAAATGGGAGCTTTGTACATTAAAAAGGACTTCCCAAAATGTTAATGGATGACCACGGTAGAGAATATTTCCCTGGCAAAGTTCCCGCAGGACTGTCGTCGCTCGTGGTCGATCGTAACCAATGGTTGTCGCATCTTCATGGCTTCTAATCTTAACTTAAGTACATCAACGACTTTGAAGAACTTCCTGTCGAATGTCAGGCTAAAGCTTTTGCGTCCCGGCGCTCGTTGACGTCGGTGTCAATGTCAGTTTATCGAGTGAAAAGGGTATTGCACAAGGGACATAATTTGGAATATTTCTTTGCACCGAGTTGCAAATAAATTGTCTCAGACCGCAACCAGTTGTCTAAAAGGTTGAAAATTTCAATGATGCCACCAGAAGCAGTCGCATTTTGGACTGCCTAAACTCAATGGAATTTTGAAACGAGTCCAAAAAAGTAGGATGTGCACAGACTCTGCCCATAAATGACACGCAGGTGGCAAATTGACAAGTTCTTCCTACTATATCGCACTTTGCATTCATACACTCGTCACGTGATCTTTGCACGAGATCAGGAAGAATAGCAATATTGCATGGAATTATTCTAAACTTGTTGGAAGTATTATCTGGCACTTGCGACATACAAGGATATTCATTGACAAATGATCCCCAATCAGCTAATCCCTATATAATATACCGCTTATCGTATGGAAAACAATCCGACTAATTTTCGAAATCAATAACAATATCTTCGTAATGACCTATAAATTCTTTGTACCTATAATCACTCCTGAGATAATGACCTAATTCGTCTGAATGTCGAAGCTCTCGCGCGTGTAAAAATTTCAATTCAACTTTGTTTAACAATTCCGAATGATTAGGTCAGCTTAGAAGTTGCAATACTCTGCATTTCCATTTATGAAATTTGATAGAGACTTGCATCATACTTTGATAGAGGATTGTGACATATGAAAGTAAATTTCAAGACGGGGTAATTAGGGACTCAAGACTTTTTAGCCACGTCGGTAGTTCACCGAGAATGAAAAAATGAAGCATATACGAGAGAAAAGAACTCTTTGTGGAATGTCTGGAAAATTGGGAAACGGTTCACTATGTTTCTACTTACGAACATTACCGTAGACATTGTTGCGGCGCTTTGTAGACTTCTCGGGCGGTGTATAAGCGACGTATAAAAAACTAGTAATACTGTTAACGCGGAATAATAACCTCGAACGAGTCGCGGTCGAACTACGAGAGTGTTTCTAGTATTTTGGATTTTGAAGATATCCGAGGGCTATCCCACTTATTAATTATGCCGGGCCGACGCGCGTCTCGTGAGTAAAGCGTCGCGACGCCCGACGTCTTTTTATAAGAAGCTCGCTACGTCAAAAAGCTCCCACCGAAAAGCTCCCCTCCGAAATCTCGAGGATGACCGCCCGAAGTATTTGCACCGCTTCAGAGCTTTTGCGAGCCAATTTCGAGGCAATCCTCGAATTTGATTGGCTGCCAAATTACAATTCGGCCCGGAAGCGATTTTCCGTTTCGGGATTGGCTGATGTGCTCGACCAGTTCTCAAGATTTCGCAGTTCAAAGCCACTTTTCGGAGCAATTGACTGGCTCGATACATGTCCGACAAACTTAAACCAAAAAAGTAGAGCAAACCGTAACAGTAATACCAATGAAACAACTAAAAGTATTAAAGTACTTGTCAATTGATTTCAAAATTAATTCCTTTTCATTTTCCCTCAGATTTTACGGCGAAAATGGGACGGAATAATTCAAGATTTTCTTTTCTTTTTTCTTTTGCCGAACAATCAAATCCAGTATTTATGTAAAAAGAGAATTGATGAAGAAATATGAAGTGAATTAAAACGCTCGCGGTAATGGAATTGCTTTACGACTGAAAAAGCGCGGGATCATCACGTGAATAGAATCGTACCGAACAAAAGCTCTGGCGGCAACATTTCCTGCGGATGCAATTCAACCGTGCATCGGTTAATTTATGGTTGACAGTTTGTTGCACGTGGCAACACGCGACTGTCACGTGCTAGGGATGATAGACAAAGATCGGCTCCAAAAATGTGACAGTGCAAGTAGCACTCGAGACCAATATTAAGACAAAATGTCGAAATTATAGTCTACAATATGCCACTTTGTGCACGACCCTAAATAAATTGTTTTAGAAATCATTTTATCAATAACTTGCATCAATGCGTGTAAAATGTTATCAGTAATGATGTCGATTATTTTATCAATTACTTTCCGATGAATTTTATCAATTAGGTGTCAACGGAAACGTGGATAAATATTCGGCATTTGAGTTTAGAGAGTCTCGAGATCGTAAGGCTCTTCCTCAGCGAAATGAAGTTCTTGATAGGTTAAAATGAGACTTTTCAACGTCAAAACGTCACCATGCTCGGGACCATTTCGAAAAGTCATAAAATCCCAGCTTGGTGCCCATAAATGGCGGCGTAACGGGCGAATTCTCGAATTAGCCGGAAGTACGGAATTAGATCTGTTTTTGCGTCGTCCGTTCTCCTCAATGAGACCTACGTCAATGCTCTACTAGCGGTGCCTCAAACTATAAGAAGATGCACACATTCCTCGGGAACGTACTCACAACGTCGATCCAAGATTATCGGGCGATTCACCGAACTCACTCACGGATTATTTCTCAATGAGCCTACTCGCTCGGGTGTACATTTCATAGAAAACATTCGAGAAGACCGCATCTCGAGAAATTATCTCCACTGAAAAGAATTAAAAACATGAAAATAAATGCACAATAAATACCTGAAATACCTAACATTAAGAACGTGGAAAATGAACAATGAAAGTTCACAGATACGGGTAAACGGCATAATTAAAGAAGCTGGAAATGATAACGCTTTGTGAGCAAGAATTGTCCCACAAACACCCGTCTTTACGGCTTTCCTTATCTGAATATAAGCGTTAACTGATAGAAAATGGTTCACCGCCCTGCTGGTTATAGCGTTAAAGGAAACGTTTCCTTTTGTCATTGAAATTCATATTTAAGTAAGGTACCACTCAATAACGCGCGCACAAAGGACGGCCAAAAATATCGGCCGATTCACCTAACTCACTCTTGGATTACTTCTCAATGAGTCCACTCTCGCGAACGTCGAGGGGTAATTTATTTTTAAAGCGCACCCATCCTTCGAGTACTTGTTTATACATTTTAGTAAGGAACGATGTTAGCCAAATTATTGTCGAATATTGTCAGATAATATTTATCGAAGTAATTATAACCAATAAATGACCTGTGTCGTCGAAGAAATGTCCAATCCGTTACTTTAGAATTTCATTAGGAATAGGATTTTCAGATTAATATCGATGGAAATTATCCGCTTGTACGTTAAACCTTTGTTATTTCTTTTATCAACGTCCTCGCGCCCTACAGGGCACCCTTTATGTGGCCGTCTGAACATATTATTGATTTTGCCCCTGCCCTTTACGAGCATCCGTTTTTCCAGACTTCCCCCAAATAAATGTCATGAAAAAGGAACTGTTGTGTATACCAAATATTAGTTGTGATACTCCAAGTATAATAATGATAAATATCACTTTTTAATTAATAACATAATTTTCCGCATGAAATTCAACACATGAGTGTCTGACCATATTGCCGACATTTCCACTTCCTTTCTTTAAGAATCTCCTCTTAAACATTACGCGTTTATCCTGGATAATCCTGTTACAACTTAAGAAATAGTTGCAAATATCGTTCCTGAACAGTCAACGACATTATAAAAAGTGAAATAACGGCTGACAGAATACGTAAAAGAAATCCTGAATCATGGCCCGGAGCTGGGATCTATTTCAAACTTGTCCTCGGTGGGCGCGAATGGCAGACAATGCCCTCGAAGACTCTTGTACCTTATACTGGAGACGAAAAAAGCGTCGCATGGAATGTTAAATAAAAATAAAAATGGAAATTCCACCGGCACGCTAACCTAACGCAACGACCGCTACAGAAGGGACGGATGTCCACGTGTGAACTATAAATAATTCCAGGCGCCCCGACGCCTCTTTACGGACCGCGGCATCGGCTTTTCAGTAAGCTCTATTAAAGTACCATCGACCTGTAAAGGCAAGAGGGCATAACCTCGACAATGTATGAATAGAAATGACAAAAAGTTCCTGACAGATAAGGAATACCGACCTTCCACAACGCTACTCAATTTGTACCCCAAGAAAGCATGCCTCCATATCGCAGTACTCCTATTTACACATGAATTACATCAACAGATAAAACTGTTATAAATGAAAACCCCAAAGATTAATTTTAGAATGCCGGAGACGTGAATATTAATATAACTTCAGTTATTGTTTCGCCCTTTTCAACGGGTGTTTTGAAGAACCTCGTTAAATGACATTGGGGGAACTTTCTGTGACGTTAGGTGGAAGAGTTTCAGCAAAAAAACATAAAGATTTGGTACAATAGGAGGAACATCTACGACAGCAGTGACGACTTGAAAGATGCCCAAGAAGACTCATCGAATAGTCGACTCACTCATAGAAACGTCACCGAAAGACTGCGTTGGCGAGTTAGGGACTGTCAACCTCGTCGTATTCATTCTCTCTGTCAAAGTGAGATTCTTGTCGAGTTAACGTGTCGTGCTAATTTTAAGTCTTGAGCCCTCCTCTCTTTCGAGCACAGAAGAACGGCAATGACCATGTGCACTGGCCTTAATAAAGATTTCACGGGAACTCCGAGGACAAAAGTTCGAGTTTGACCGCTCGACAGGAAGCCGAATGAAGATCAGGCTAAAAAATAAATTGCTGACAATGCAGAGTCGCAGCTATCGAGATGCTATCAGCAAATGATTCCCGATCACTCGTGGACACCTTTGGAATCGATATCTGGGAAAGCGTGGCAGATGTCAGCCCAGGAAGTGCGCAGTAATCTGACACTTGGCAGAGAACGCGGAATTCGGGAGTAATTAGGCGAATCCGGGAGCCGAATTACGTAAGGTCTGAAGTTTGAGTCATAAATCCAAGAGATTACTTGGGAGTTAGAGTTGGACCGATCATTTTGGTCTTGGCGATGTATTAGGCGGGCATCAGCGACACCGAATGACGATGTAATAGCATAAGCGATGGAAACATGTGTCGAGGATAAATTCCCAGACCTTAACACCAAGGAAATGGACTGGAATTGCAAGAACGAAATCCCAAAAGGGATTCACACTTCCCGGGTAGAATTTTCTAACGGAGAGTAACAAACGACAGGATGTAAATAACATGTCTAGAAAGAAGAGTCTTAAGCAGCTCAGAATCGGAATTTCTGATTGTTCATTGGCGAACATGACTGCTACCAATGCATGGTGGAAAGATATTCATTTCCACCGGTGTACATCGATTAGACTAATACTTCAACAAGAAATCAAGTCCAAAAAATTGCGACAAGGAAAAATCAAATCAGGGAAAATCGCGAATTCGAGAGTAAATAGGCAAATCTGGGAGCTAGATTACGGATGGCCTGAAATTTTACTCATAAATCTAAATTATCATTTGGAAATTAGAGTTGAAGCAATCATTTTAGTCTTAGCGATTAATTAGACATGTATCAGCAACGCCGATATGCATAAGTGAATTTTATTACCAAGAAAATGGTCTGAAATCTCGAAAACGAGACTCCCAATCGAAATTCCCATCTTCCAATTTGAATTTCCAGAAGATAGGTGACAAACGACAGGATGTAAAGAACATGTTTAGAAACGAGAGTCTTAGGCAGCTTCTAATCGGAATTTTTCATCGTATATCATTTGAACTAATATTTCAGGGAGGAGTCAAGCTCAAAAAACCGCGACACGAGATCATTTCAAGGTTTCGCTCTGGCGCCAGATCAAGGTTATGAGAAACCCGTGTCATCTTAGCACCTATGCGAAACGCTTACATTATTTATATTAATATAGGAAAAAAAGTTGACCGATGGCAAATGACTCTACAGTGTGACGTGTCAAGAGAGAGAAAATATTTACACCGTAAATGATTTATTCTCTTGCATAATTTAACCGTCAGGCGTCTTTTCCTATCGCAGATCTTCACGACTTGAAATGTTCCCCGCCACGAGACATGTTGACAATACATTTTGAAGAGTGAAAAAATGAAATTCTGATTTTATGTTTCATTCCAATTTAGCTGGAGGCTGAAACTTCAGAAGTGCAGGTGCAAGAAAAGGATAAGATGCATAGACGGTGTAGTCGCCATTGCGACGTCTAATCCTGGCGCGAGGAGCCGAATTTACGGGCGAGCGGGAAGAAAAAATAGTTGTGAAATATTTTAATGACCTGGGGACTTAATCTTCCTCTCCAGCCAGGAAGTCTATTTATTCCGAAATGCGTCAGAGGTTAGAGAAACATAGTTAAGTCGAGTCGAAGCTCAACGGAAAGCTCGAAGCTGACAGTGTCTGCCTGCTCTGGCGTCGGTGCCAACAATTTTTCACTAACAATGACCGTTGCATAAAGGTAAACACAGCGTGGCATCCGGTCCATTAACATTTCCAGAGTTCCCAGAAAATCCCCGGACGATTCCGGGAAACTTAGTCAGCTGTGGAATGGTGGAATTCGAGAACGGAATCACCCATAGGGCTAAGAATTTGGAGTTTTTGGCAAACGGGAAAAGCCTCCATCTTTTTGTTATAGTTATTCGCAGGTGGCTCCCATCCAGATGACGACCAGAGTCGTTAATCATTGTCGTCATAGTTACACCGCCCCCGCACTATAGTTACTTGCTAGTGTCCTACAAAAGTACGCCAGAAACAATGTCGCCATTTCTCAGGAATCGAGCACCGAAGATTTGACGGCGGAGTCGTTGACACTTTGGAATTGTTTTGACAATTGTCGGGAGCTTATACGGTGACATAACAATGACTCTGCTCTGGATTGAGAATTTTCTCAAGATACGTCCTGCAGGATAATAATTATTTGGGCATTTATCTCTGATACGTGAATAATCATTTCATAATTATTTTTCGCTTTAGGTTATTTAAGAACCCAATCGAGTAAAAGAGTCATTTATCGGGACACGATAAGGATTAATTTTTGTAATCACAAAGTATAAATTAAATGAGCCTCATAAATGTATTAACGACCAAGGACCTTCACTATAAATACAGCCCGGTACGCCAGTGACCTAGGTTTGTTTTCATGAATATCCTGCCCATTCCAAAAATATCGACGACACGTCAAAGCTCCGTTTCTGTCAAAATACAGACGGGAGATGACGGTGCCATCGAATAGCTACGAAAACAAACGTCCGCGGAAATTCTGACCGACGAGAAAAATGCGGAACTGTCGCATGTGCCGATCTATTTCGACCGCGTAGCTTTATTTTCAATCTTCCTGGCCGGCAGGATGCGTACGATATTAAGGACTCATCGAAAACATATATCTATTTCCGCGACCATTGAGTACCAACTTCAGCCATCCATAGTACAGTATCAATCACAATGAAATATCGAAAAATCCGATAACGGAAGTCCTCATCGAGCTGCATTTAACTACATTCGGTAGTTACGTTCACGGATGTAAGAATCGAAAATTAATTTTCTTTACCTAAACGAACCACGTATTAATTAATGTACTCTTCGGCACAGTTGGTCACGTCTTTCCCCCACCCCGGCCGTTTCATTTAAGCATGCAATTATCTTAAAAGAAAATTGACTACAAGAAAGCATTGTATTTGTATGTATTAATTATCGAATTTCTGAAACAATTCAGTGGGCATTGATACTAGTTGTATGTACGCTGTCAGAAATATTTCGATATTTACAAACGTATCCTAAAAGCAGAAACAGCAGCACCCGAAATGACAACCAAACAAACTGCAGACTATACATTTGATAACTCAAACTTGTGCCCCAAAAGCCCGAAAGCTTTCCACGGAAATTTCAAAAATCTGTCTGACACCCTGAGAAAATAGATTACTTGACAGACACAAATATATACCTTTCACGTATATATTGTTGCCTCCATCTAACTTTTTTCTCGGTACAGACATTTTAACAGTTTTCGAGCTCCATGGGTCCCATGGTCCATCGAGGAAACACGGGCAATTAAATTCTGCGCCTATCGATCGTCTAAAAGAGGAACCCCGGCGGCGTTCGTATCAGCTCATGGAGACCCTTCGATTGCGCGCTATCAAATTCAGTATAGACCCTATTCTCGAGTTCGTTCGATCAACTTTTGAATGCAAAATTGACATTTTCATACACGGCTTCCAAACATTGACCACTGACATAGCAACAATGCGAAATCTTTCGTGCTTATCTATTCGTATGTGACAAAAAAAAATTCGCAAACTTGCGAAACCACGTTATTGTTCGACATTTAAAAGTTTTATGCGAAACTGTTACTTTCGCATAAAAAAATGGTGCATTGCAGGGAAGTCGCGTCATTGATCACCGTTTGAAAGTCGTACGCATGCGAAATTATAATGCGACATTTATCGTGCGTATGTATTCGTATGCGAAAAAAAATCCGTATGAACTCGAGAATAGGACCCTTCTTTAGTTCATACTATCACTTTCGCATACGAAATTAACAGTTTCGTATAAAACTTTCAAATGTTGACCAATGACGTGACTTTGCAACAGTGCGAAATTATTTCATGCGAATCTATTCGCATGAGAATAAAAAAAAATTCGTATGAACTCGAGAATCAGGGTTCCGATTATCGAGTTCATACGATCAATTTTCGCAACTTGAGAAAAGGAGCTCAAGGACCTTTCTTTAGTTCATACGATCACTTTCGTATGCGAAATTAACAGTTTCGCATAAAACTTCCAAATGTTGACCAATGACGCGACCTCGCTACAGTGGGAAAATGTTTCATGGGAATTTATTGATACGCGAAAAAAATCCGTCCGAACTGGAGAATCGAGTCTCTAGAGTAGGCATGGCCAACATACGACCCGCGTAATGAATTTATGTGGCCCGCGAACAATTATTTGATATTAGCATTTAACCTTCTAGTAATTAATCGTTAATGTTGCCACGTGGACAAAATCCCGTATGTTGGCCATGCCTGCCCTAGAGCGTCGACGGTTCGCAGCGCGAAGACGGTCTTTGCGCGGATTATTAGCGTCCGCTCCGTGGCAACCCAGCGCCTTCCCCTGTTTCCCCTGTATCCGCGAGCACGTTCTTTTGTTCGCCGGCGTACGAGTCGACGGTCGGCGCGCCGCCCAATGAGAGCGCGGCCCAAGGGTCGGCCATCTTGGCGCATGCGCGGTGGACCGGCCACCCGCCGCGCGACGAAAAGCCGAGGGCTGCACTCGCGACGCCTCGCCGTCTCCAAGAGCCTCCTGCGCCTCCGTTTTCGGGAATTTCCGCCCACCTGGCGAGCCTGCGGGTGAAGACGCGCACCAGGTGAGTGAGGCGAACCCCCGACCCGCGTCGCGGCCCGGGCGTCGCCGAGCCCGGGCGGAAATAGCAAGGGCGAGCCGAGCCGAGCCGGCCCGGGTGGCCGCCCGACATATTGATCTCCGCCACTGTCACGGACAAGGAACTCGCGAAATTCGCCCTCGGAACCTCGGGCCCCCTCCGGGAACTTGGAATACCGACCCCGCGTCTCAATTCGCGGCTCCTGGGAATTTAATTCCCCCCGGGTACCCTTCGACCGGCACCGGGAAGCCGACTCCTCGACCCGGCCGCCATTATGCAATTCGCAAACGTGACGCCTCTCGGGGAATTCACCCAGCGGACGAGATTTCTGTTAGTCGACGGGAATGACCTCTCGAGACTCGGTTAGAGATCTGGATCTCGGGGGATTATAAGGGCGAGACTGCGTGAGTACTCTCGGGGAAGGTGTAGGGCGGGGTTGTAAGTACTTGCAGGTTAAAATTCTCGGCTTGCCGGGGAAATGGAAATTCCTTCCAGACATCCGGGCGGAGAATGTTGTGCAATTGGTCCCGACGCTTTTTTTTTCCTTTTCCCTTTTCTCAAAGTGCCGGGTTTTCTTGGGGGAGTGGATTGGATTAAAGGGGTTGACTCGGGGAAGAGACTGTAACTGGAATTGAGGGTGAATTCTTTTCGCGGAAGGTTAAGAAATAATTGGATTGGTGTTATTGCATTTTCTTGATGGGTTGTTAAGCAAGCCGTTTCACTATTTGATAGTGGTAATCGAGTAATATATTCTAAGAGGTGGAATTACGTGAATATGTGTAAGATGTTTGGAAAGTATCGTTTAAGAACTTGTTCTTTGTCGAATGTGCGTCACTGGGAGGTGGAGTCATTTTTATTTATTTGGGGTGGGGTTGTTTCCCTGATTAAAATGATTGCTGCGTGCGGGATAATTTAACGGGTAGTGGTGCTATTTTATCTGACGGTAGCGATCAATACGATTCGCTTCAAAGACCCTTCGCCAAATTATTAATCGATTCTCCAGATGCGCGGCCATTTTGCAGATCACCGCAGCCTTTCGGTTCTTCCACTACGAAGCTAAACATTCTTTGGATGGGCTCCAATTATATCTCGCTTATCGTTTCTCTTTACGTTGTACCTGGGACGCGAGAGTATTTTAGCCCCTGGAATATGCATGGCGCTTTGTGCACTTCTACTTTGAATTATTTCACCCTGGCCTTTCAATTTGCGAAGCTCACTCGTTTCGACAGTGAAAGGACTTGCCGGGGTGAATAGCATCTCACAACCACTGGTCAGCGAATACTCACGAACGGAACAATTGATCGATTTATTTCTGCCGCGGGGGTCGAGTCTGTTCCTTTGTGATTGGCTTCCTTGATTCTTCGAGAAATTCCGATTCGAGAGCCTCGATTCATCCACCGGAATCGAATAGTTCTACGACCTCTCGGACACATCGAATTAGATACGATATACCTACTACGCTAATCAATAGTTACTCGCATCTCCCGACTCCAGATAAGCCGAGCCAGTCGTTTGATTAAAGCAGTTCCCGAGTAACTACTTGACTCAAAGGAGGACTTTCAACCAGTCCAAAAGAAATCAAATAAAGCTTAAAATGACGTAAAAGCGGCATTTAAGGGCAATCATTTATGAAACTTTTCCCCGACCCGTGTGTACCGAATCGTTTCTAACTTTACAACTTGAATATGAAAAGATGTGATTTCAATTCTTACGAAATTTCCTTCGTGGACATTTTTTTCATTTGTTAGAAGAATTAAATTTTATGGGGGGTGAGAACCTTCCTTTAGCCTCCATATTCACATTGTACAGGTTGAAACGATTCGGTACACCCGGTTAAGAGAAAAGTTTCATAAATGAGACCCTCCTGATGATGTCACCTTTGATATAGGGAGAACACTTTTGCAAGCCGTTTTCCGTAATTAATCCGCGCCAGATCTGAAATTCTCCTAGATCGTTAATGAGGGCATCTTGAAATTATTCGAGAAGTTAGGTGCACGTTTCTTTTTTAACGTCGGTTCTGTGACAGTAAACGTGTCGAAAGCACGCCACATCTAGGGACGCCATTTCCGGGAGAGTCTAACCGGATGAAAACTGAACTCTTATTCGCGGTGCTTCAAGAATTAATCAGCTAAAGGAAAATCGATAACTGGATTTGCTCTCTTTCTCTCTCCTCTCCTTGGGTTATCTTAAAGGATTCTGATGTAATGTCTTTCTTATACTTCGCTAAGGAGCGGTCGAGTAGAACAAGCCGCGATGTAGTCAGCCATGTTCCTTTTTTTAACCCTGCTACCCGTACGCGCAATCGATAAGATATTATTTTACCTCCTCCACGGAGATACCACAGGTATTGTGTGCAGTTCCCACTGTTCACGTATAGGAGTAACAAAGCTGGTAAATTCTTGGTTTACTTTACAAGTAGGTCGGCTATTTCCAGGACTGTGTCTATACTCTCGCGTGCTCGTGAACCCTCGTCTACTACCTTCGTAAATTTAGCGACACCATGGAACAGTAACGAGACGGAAGTAATCAGGAATCGCTAGGCAATGAACGCAACTTGGACAGCAACAAGAAAAAAAGTATCGACTCAGAAGTCTCGTACTTTTTTGCGATTTCATTCGGTGTGATTAAAGGGCGATGAAAAAGTGCCATGAACATCTTCATACTAAATCCAGTTACTACGCTGAGTAAAAAGTACTTCCCAATAATATGCTCATTTCGATTAAGTGTTTCGACGGAAAGGACACAGAATTACCCCAAAAAAATATTCGATTTTAATTTAAAAAAAAAATAACAATAATCTAGGAATCTCTTTAAGACTGTAACGCGTTTAACGGCAACAAATAACGGTGGAATATGTTTTCGATGGATTGAAACAAATGGTTCCTAAGGCGTGAAAACATATTTCATTGAATTGAGAAAAAAGGCTGAATAAGAAATAGCTTTTCTCCTTTCAAGGAAATTATTTCTTCGAATGGAGTTGAAGAAACGAAACGTATAGGTTCGATTTCTTCTTTTACTATTTGAAGATATGAAGTATTCTATCGATGCATTGAATCAGGATTGAACGTTCGGTATTTTTGAGCGAGGATTAGATTTCTTTAAATTTATGCTATAGTTCAAAGCGATTCAAAGAAATTAGTATAGTTAAAAGAAAGAAATGGTTTTCTTGGGGTAGGGGCAGCTTGAAAAGGACGTTCTTCTGGATTCCAGATAGCTGATCCGTCACCATGGGCAAGGAGAAGATCCATATAAACATCGTGGTGATCGGGCACGTGGACTCGGGCAAGTCCACGACCACCGGTCACTTGATCTACAAATGCGGAGGCATCGATAAGCGTACCATCGAGAAGTTCGAGAAGGAGGCCCAAGAGATGGGGAAGGGTTCCTTCAAGTACGCCTGGGTGTTGGACAAGCTGAAAGCCGAGCGCGAGCGCGGCATAACGATCGACATAGCGCTCTGGAAGTTCGAGACGGCAAAGTACTACGTGACCATAATCGACGCACCGGGTCACCGAGACTTCATCAAGAACATGATAACGGGAACAAGCCAGGCGGACTGCGCGGTGCTGATAGTGGCAGCAGGAATCGGTGAATTCGAGGCAGGGATCTCGAAAAACGGGCAGACCAGAGAGCACGCCCTGCTGGCGTTCACCCTGGGAGTGAAACAGCTGATCGTCGGGGTGAACAAAATGGACATGACCGAGCCCCCGTACTCGGAGAGCCGCTTCGAGGAGATCAAGAAGGAGGTCTCCTCCTACATCAAGAAGATCGGCTACAACACCGGGTCCGTGGCCTTCGTGCCCATCTCCGGCTGGCACGGCGACAACATGTTGGAGCCGTCCCCGAAGACGCCCTGGTACAAGGGGTGGAAAGTCGAGCGCAAAGACGGCAACGCCGACGGGAAGACCCTGATCGAGGCTCTGGACGCCATCTTGCCACCCTCTCGACCCACCGACAAGGCTCTGCGACTTCCTCTTCAGGACGTCTACAAGATAGGCGGCATCGGAACCGTCCCGGTCGGCAGAGTGGAGACCGGTATCCTGAAGCCGGGGATGTTAGTCACTTTCGCCCCGGCTGCCCTGACCACCGAGGTCAAGTCCGTCGAGATGCATCACGAGGCCCTTACGGAAGCCCTGCCCGGGGACAATGTCGGCTTCAACGTGAAGAACATCTCCGTCAAGGAGCTGCGTCGCGGATATGTCGCAGGGGACTCGAAGAACCAGCCCCCTAGAGGCGCCGCCGACTTCACCGCCCAGGTGATCGTTCTCAACCATCCTGGGAACATCAGCAACGGGTACACCCCGGTTCTGGACTGCCACACGGCTCATATCGCCTGCAAGTTTGCGGAGATCAAGGAGAAGTGCGACCGACGTACCGGGAAGACTACCGAAGAGAACCCGAAGAGCATCAAGAGTGGAGACGCCGCGATAGTCATGCTGCAGCCCAGCAAGCCCATGTGCGTCGAGGCTTTTCAGGAGTTTCCGCCGTTAGGGCGGTTCGCGGTTAGGGACATGCGCCAGACCGTGGCCGTGGGCGTCATCAAGGTGACTATTTACCTCGCACATATCCTCCAAAGGCAATTTTTAGACGGATATCATTTCATTTTCTGATCCAGCCTGATAACTTTTAACCTTTGACTACGGACGCGTGGGCTTTGACCTGGATGGATCCTATCATACTCATATTTCCTCTCCACACATTTCTTCCATAGTTTTATCAACGAATAGTCTAGAAACTCATTATTAATTTTATTTGGCTTAATTTTATATACTTCTTTAAAAGAATTTTATAACGAACAAATTCAGTTTTCTAAGACCATGCGCTTTTTTTCATCATTCTAAAGGATCATGTCCGGTGTCAAAGGTTAATCCTAGTTCAATCTCGGCTAGCAGGCCGATTTATTTATCTGTGCATATTGCAAATTATGTTTCAGCCCTTCGTGGGCCTACTTCAGAAATTTGCATACGTTTTATATTCGATCCTATATGTAGTAGTACTTATGCGTGACAAAATTTATATTCTGCCGATCTAGTTCATTCATTTCGTTTATTTATTTAATTTCAACCGCATCGTGCACTCTTCGTATAATCACTCCTTTTAATTGTTACCTAAATAGTATTTGGCAATTTTCATTGTAGCTAATTAATTGCATTTAATTTCTTTTCTAACGTCCAGTTTTGAGGGTAATATGTCCCGCCCAATTGCTCGAGTCTATTAATCTCGACGCAACAAAAAGTAAAAATTAACAAATATAAAACGTTAAGCATCGATCAAGTGCTTTGGGGCTGACGTTGCAAAAAAAAATTCTAAAAGTCGAATTAATCCCTTTGGCGCGTAAATTGCTCATATCGCGTTCATAATCGAAGGATGGAAGACGAATCTCGAAACGACCAAGATTTCCGGCTATTCAAGGACACGTAGTTTTTTCAAAAAATGTGCCAGGTGCTTTTGCATCTTCATTTTAGTCGTCTACGCGACGAGAGCACCGGCTACTTCTTCGATCAATTTCCTAAGGCGTAATTCCCGGTCTTGCTCATAAATCAATTACGCGCGTAACTTGGCCGCCTTTCGCCCACATTCTTCCACACTCGAATAGCTGGTGTGTGGCCAATTTTCTGGGAAACCGGCGAAAAGCACTTTCTTCCGAACATACGAATGATTCTCGAAGTCGAAATGAAAAGCACTCGTTCGTAAATAATTATTATCCCAGAATTGTAATATCAGTGCACTATTTAATCGCGAAAGGCGTAAATATACGTCAAACGTTTGGTCCACTATTGCCTGTACGCATGAATGAATTTCGCCCTTACGTCGATAAGACTTAACAGTCAAAGGATAAAATATCAACATCACTACGTTTTCATTTTAGAGGCATTGTAATTAATTCTTCTATGGTATTACCTATAATTCCGTAACTATACCCACCCTTAATGCATTTAACCCCTTCTATGCTAACTACTTTCGACGTATCGGATAATTTCATGAACATTCCTACAAGATGCGACGAAAATTCCCAGGATTTTATAAATATCTCACCAGAGCGTTACTGCTTCGCAAATTAACGAATCAACATCGCTATCCAATTAAAAACACTTATTAGATCAGATAACAAAATTGAAAAGTGAAAAGTTACAAGAAATGCTCAAATTTCCTTTCTTATCCTTACAGAAAGAACTTCATCGAACCGCCGAAATATTTTGTTAACTCGAAGAATAATTATCTGACTCTAATGAACTCAAATCACCATGACTCCGAAGAAAACAATGTTGCATCCAATTTATTCGAGTTCATTCGAGTGAAAGATTTATTCTCCGAATGACGAAAATATTTCTTTGGCGTCATTCACTGAACCATTTCTCTGGTCGAATGAAATCTCGTTTTCTCAACATTGTTCAAGTCGTTCCGTAAACTTGCGGGAATTTTCGCCGCGGTCTGTGTATTCCGGTGCCGTGAAATGCTAGTTGCGTCGAAAGGGTTAAAGCCGACCGATCCTCGCCCGACTAATTTCCGTGAATTATTCCGCAGAGTGTCAACTTCAAGGACACCCAGGGCAAGGTAACAAAGGCCGCGGAGAAGGCCCAGAAGAAAAAGTAACCATCAAGCTTCCTCGGAAGCCGGCAGCTCGCCGACCGGTGGGCATCCAGGGCCGCACCAGGGCCGCGCCACCGCCCGCCGCTCGCCCTGGCGGCCGCATCCCTCGCATCATACTCGACATATACGAAATGCGGCAAAATGTTGTGCTTAATATTGCCCCCGCCCCACTACCCACTGGTCCTGAACCCGCGTATCTATCCGACCCTGCACATTCAGTTCACCCACGCCCCACGCACGCCCCACATATGCTAGGGGCCCTCGAGGTGTCCCACCGCCACCGATCGGACCGGGCACCCGCGCGCCTATCCTCCAGCTCGCGATTACCGACACTCTCATTTCCCCCATTGGAATAATCCGTAGTTAGGTTTTTCAATTGAAGGCTCCGACTCCACCGAGAAAAGGTCAAAACAGGCAAGAAAGGAAATCCAAGACGCGGCACTCGGAGGCGACTGGCGTCGCCGTCTTCGGCCGCCACGACGGCAGCCCCCGAGCGAGCGACAGGAAACCCAACTCCCTCCCTCCCCCCTTTTTCTATGCCCATATCTTATAATTTATTACGGGACCCTGTAAACGTAGGTGGTCTATGCAAGGGGTATTAAACGTTTACGGGCACGTGCTCGCCTGGCGACGCGTCCATTCCGTGTGACACCTCTGCGCGTCGTTATCCGATCGCGGCTGATGGCGCACCCGACGGGACCCCCCAAGTAGAGATAGTAAAAACCAGGAATCCACGGGTCTTTTTCGGCTTTTTTCGATTTTTGTACTTCGGGTTTCATTGCCGAGGGTAGAGTGCAGACCTCGGGACTCGCCGTCGAGTTTACGGTCGGGTGTTAAGGCGACCGTTTTACGGATAATGGTGCGGTAATGGGGTGTTTCATGGGACGCACGCCACGGGATCCTCACCTTTCAGGGTGAACCCTGAGGTAAACGTTCGGTACCCGTTGTCTAAACCACCTTACATTTTCGGGCATGGACTCTCCTCCGAATACCCTCAAGGCTGAATCGTTCCAAGACTCGTTTGCGCCGCTGCGACTCATTTTATCATTAATTATATATATATACATATATATATAAATATTAAGATATTTCATAGTTAGACACAGTTCCCCCTCGAAGAAGCGAATCTCAAGGACGGGGCGCACCGCGATGAGAAAGGGTCGACGGTACTTTCGGCGCCCCCAAAGACGTGTTCAACTATTGTTTTTCACCCTTAGTCAGTATTAAGTTGACGTAATAAAAATGAATTTTAATCGCAGCCCCTCCTTTATCACGATTTCATACGAGAGATACGTCGAAGCGGATGACGCGGACAAGGCGCCACGCTAAGAAAAAAAATGTCTGACTAAAGAGAAAAAAAAAAGACGACTTTTTTTAATAATGTCCATTTCGATCAAGTGTTTCGGTAGAAAGAACATGTAGTTACCTCAAGGAAATATCTATTCAAAGAAACGATAATGATCTGCGAATTCCTGCAAAACTGTAACGCGTTTAATTGCAACAAATAACAGTGGAAGATTTCCGTTCGATCCGTCGAAAGAAATGGTTTCTTAGGTACCGAAGCACATTTCATTTCACTGAACTGAGCCAATCAAATATCTTTATAAAAGGATCTTTTGTTTTTTTTTTTTCTTCCAAGGAAATTATTTCTTTCAATGGAGTTAAAGAAACGAGACATACAGCTTCGACACCTTACTTCATTATCTTAAGACCTGAGGTGTTCGATCGACGGGACGCGTCGAAGTTTTAAATATCCGGCATTTTTAAGCGAAGACTATATGGTTGGATTTTATGTTAAAGCTTCTTTAATCCCGTTTAAAGAAATAATTCCTCCTCGGTGCAGGAGGGACCACTTAACGCTCTCCGACTCGTCGACGTTTCGTTAAATATAATTTATTTAGCGTAAATTACTTCCTCTCTTCCCAGAATGCCTATCGGTCTCGTTAAGAGTTTACAACTAGACGTGCGGGGTGTATGTACAAATATATATTTAATGCAACGATCTTATAAGAATTTAGGGTAATGCAGGTCTCGGTCAGTCTTTAGTTGCTGAGGCCCGCCGCGGACCGCCGAGCAGACCTTTCGGATAGATCATCTTCGATCAACGCACGGTTCTTCGGGCTCGACCTGGAAAACTTACGTCTCTTGTACGCTCGGCTCGCCTAATATTTTATATACAGCAATTTGTCGAGCTATTTCTATCTTATATTCTCATATCGCCAGGGCTCACAGTCTTCCTCGGCGGAAACGCGACCAATCGCCAGCAAGAATCAGTCACGGAATTTGTAGAAACCGCACGAACGAATTACACGACGGAATGGTTCCCTTCCTCTCGTTCAACATTCTAAGAACGACTGTGAGCATTGACGTGACATACGCAAAAATATACATCCTCGGGTTATAATTGAGAACCGTAGGGGCTATATCTCGCGAGGAAACGTGCCGATCATCAGTGGCCAATCGTTTAACTTAATGGGAATTTCTCTACCTTAACTTATCGCGGAAAAGGGTCTCCTGGTTGGGCCGGAATTTGTACGATGATAACGATCACTTAATCGCAAAGACGGGATTGTAGCATATAAACGATAATTTTAAGGCACGCTCGTCACGCCTTTTACGCCCTGGAGCGCGGAACTTAGGCGAAGAGCTTTTAACGTCTAAGTGGCGAAAAGTACGAATCTACAGCAAGAATACCATGACACAGAGATCATTCTTGTAAATTCGTAGACTCCGCCAGTAAGCGTGAAACCATAGCCATTCCTTGCATAGAACAGAATTCGCAACAATATGGAGCGAAACAAAGAAAGAATTCAGGACCAAACTTGGTCTCGGAGACCAATGAGAAAATCTCGATTTGGGGATCTAATTGGAAAAAAAAAAGGAAACAGTACCGACTAATTCGAATCGGTAACAGGAAATATCCCGGCTAAGGAGAAACCACCTCCGTGGAGCAAACTCCCCCATTGCACCATTTACATACCTCTCGCGAACCGTGCAACGTGACAAAACCGCCTCCGAACAATACTAAAAGAACACATTGTTAAATGCACATCTCCGCGCGCTTGAAACTCATGATTGCATGCCAGTCACAAATCACAGTCGGTGCATTTCAAGCGCAGAGACCTACACCAACAAATGATGCCCCTCGGGACAAGGAAAGCACTCCTTTGCAATTAACTAATGCGCCCTCGACGGCCGTTCTCGAAAAGAGTACACAAAGTGCTCCGTTCGTCGCGGGCGAAGCGACAATTTCCTCGGTAAAAAAATAATCGCAACCCTACGCTCGCCGATGATCGTGGAGACGAGAACGATAATGAGAATTCCCATAACGAAAATCCATATGCGAAACCCAGAAGTCATCCGTCAAAGAAGACCTCCGAAACGCCATCTTTACATGTGCTCAAATCGAATCGCTCAGGAGGAGGTGATCAGCTGATCAGCACCTTCTTCTCTGCCAGGACGACGGGACATCGGAACTGATGCATATCGTGATTTCTCAGCGAACGATATCTCGTCCCTATGCTTGCTGATGGGTCGGACTAAGCTGTGGCCACGAGGGAGAGGTCGAATGGTTGAAGTTGACCGAAATTGTCACAGGATGGAGAACCGTGTCCGGTCCGGTGTCGGGGATGAACGTGAGATGTGGCCTCAGGAGGGAGGACTCCACAGTAAGGGGCACGTAGAAGGCGCCTCCGTCGTGGAGGGCGAATATCGGCACTCCATGGGGCTTTTCCGATGTCGGCGGGGGACTAGACTTGATTCGCTCTGCGGAGAATCTCTGCTTGATGGAGCTCTTGAACTTGTAGTTCGGCGGTCTGCTGGACGTCGGGGGGGTGCTATGGGAGTGGTTGCTGTGGTTGCTGTCGTCGCTGACCACGGTCGGCGGGGGAATTATCGGACGTGGACGTTCAGGATCCCCGAAGGAGCTCACCCCCGAGCTGGAGCCTCGGTCCGAGTGGCTGTTCGAAGGACAAATCGTCGGAATGGCGGCGTGAGCGAAGCTCGAACCTGTGAGGCCATTTGACGTCGGCATCTCCGGGTGTGGGAAACCCAATCTGTCGCCTGGAAATTCAATATCAACCTTAGTCACTCTGATCATCCTGATACGGTTTTTTGCCTTCGGACAGGTGGCCTGATTGCGGAAGTTCACGTGATTTCGAAAGATATTGAGGGTCCGGTAAAGCCAGATCGGCCATGTTGAATTTTGACGTCAGGGGCGAGAAAGTCGCGGGAAATTCCCAAACGGCATTGGGCTTCATTTTCTCACGTTTTCGTCGAAGCGTGGATTCCGTAGTGATCACCGGACGTGTAAAATGTGTCATTTGACATTGTGTTCATTGTCGAATTGTCGCCTCTGAGTCTTAACCTCGTTAAGGGGGTCAATTTTCGGAAAGTGAAATCTCGTTTCGCAGAACACGATCCGTCATGAACCGTCCGGGTGACACTTTTCGTGAATACCTAGTTTCTTCATGTCGTAGTCTTCATTGGCAAAGGTTACTCGTATCGTAAAACACCGATTGGGAATTTTACGGGATTTCCTCGCCTCTGACGTCAAAATTCAATATGGCCGACCTGGCTCTACAAGACCCTTAACTTGGCTCTAAAATGTTTCTCCACGCACCCGGTCTCCTATCGACTTTATATCGGCGATGTCATTAATAGGTTAATAAACGCGAGGCTTAATTGGCCGGTCAGCTCAACATGGAACTTGTTAATTAGAGAAAACTCCCCGAGTAATTTATCAAGCATTGGAGTATCGTTATACAGAACTCTCGTGACTTCTGCGGAAACAATCCAAAGAATGTCCCTTAAATGTCCCGCGCGTTTTTGCCCCTCTACCTCGCAGAATCCAGTCCATCAAACACTGAACCATCATCCGAGGAGCAGCTTTTCCAATTCGTTCCAATTAATTAGCCTAGCGTGACGAGTGAAACGACTCGTGGCCCGAGTTCAATTCGACATTCTTGGCTGAAAGGAGCCCGGAGTAACTTTCCAATAATTAGAGCCAAATTGATCGCCGATCGTTTCACCCAACCCAACGCAATTATCCCGGAAAATTTCTTCCCCGCTTCCTGAATTTCAACATCCCCCTACTTTCCCAACCTGTCCCCGGTTATTTCGCGATACCTTAATGTTCAACATTATCCTCCATCTCCGTTCCCGTACGAACACTTCTTATTTGCTTACATTTTGCTACGCCCTATAAACGTGAGTTAGATTCCAATTGTTCGAGGCTGGCTAGCAGTGCCATTTTCCCAGTCGTTAAAATTTATCCACTCTTAGCGAGGGGTACTTATTGTTAGTAACTCGAGTATTTCTTTCGCAGGTAATTTGCCTCTTGCCCGGTGATCATCGATTACAAACGTCTGTAGGACCTCTTGGAGGTAACGTACTTGTCGCGATGATTTTCTCGCAGTGTTGTTGCAGATGGCTGATCAGCTGCACGCATAAAGAGTCCCTCGCAAAGAAACCCTCCACCTCGACGAGGAAATGCATTGTTTCGCTGAGGCACTCTTGGAATCCTAGCCTATAATGTTCAGCTGCTGTTGATGTAGTTGCCGAATGCGAAACACTGTCGACACTGTCTTCGGTGTGAGCATGCATGGAATTGACTGCAGGATGTTTCGTATCTGAAAAAGTAAAAGCAATCCTTCAGGAACGATGTTAATTCAGAACTTTGACTCTCAATGGTCGATGATAACGATATTTCCAGTTATGGCTCGTATCCACGTGGAAGTACATCTTGTTAGAGCTGCTCTCACTCAGCTCTTTTCCGGCAAAGTACACGATTTTGGATGCGAACTTGCGCAAATTCATTGACAGTGTACGCGCTAATTGAAGCTACTCTAGCAAATATCTTGCGACATTTCTTGGGTGTACATTATCGGCGAGAACTGTCTGAAAGCAGCTCTTGGAAGTTTTACTTGCACGTGGATGTGAGTCTTTAGAAAACAGGAGGCAAAATTGTATAAACTATCCGAAAGTGCCACCTTGTCGAAGGCCTTGGAGATGCTTCATATGACGAATCGCCATCTCGATGATCTCCGTTTTCTCGACGCGTCCTCGACCCTTCTTCAAGTATTCTGCAGGGATCAGTCTGCTCAGATCTGCCAGGCAATTGTTCATGCGATCTCTCCTCCGCTTCTCGATGATCCTATGAGACATCGGATCTTGCTGAAACCAGAAGAAAACGTGGAAATTAAATATGGAAAATTTAATTCATTGTTAGCGATACATAGTATGATTGGGTCATAACGCGGGTCATTGCTGCATATCGAAGTAAGTCACGGTTCCTTGATTCCCAGTTTCCACGATATCGCAAAATGTCTTAAGTAAACATCGTAGGAAATAACACGAGGAAGAACTTTCGTTGAAAACATTTTTCAGTATCTTTCACCGTTTATAAAATATGAATAATTAAATGATAAGGACCATGCAATTATCTCGGGAGTTCCATGTTAACGTTTATACGTCCTATTGATTTCACTTGAAAAATCGTAATTAACGACTTCGTATCATCAAATCATGTAAAATAACGAACGTTAATTATTTTGATAGGTGACTAGATTAACATGAATGCGACTAATTGACAAATCTAGACATCCACGTTGCACTACTACTAATAGTGAGTCATAGCTTTCCGCGGATCCCTTATCGATACTACTCTCTTCTAAATATTTATACAGATCTCAGGCACAGAAGCATCCTCCATTGACTTATCCTGATTAGTGGCATTCCTTAAATCGGGTAAATCATCGGCACTAATACATTCAGCCAGGTGTCAAAACAGTTGTTTTTTTTTTTTCATTTTTGACATATCATTTATAATCATTGGTATGACAACGGGGGATACAAAAATTAAAATGGGCCAAAACTCGGAAAATCACCTCCTTATTGAAGCACCTCTTCTTCCGAGAGGGCGAATGCAGAGCGCCCTCCTCGGTTTTCGGCGGCGCATAGTACTGCATACTCAAAATATTGTCCATACTGTGGGTAACCATCGTGTCCGAGTACACCGAAGAAAGAGCCCCGTCACTTTCGAAAGTCTCCTCTCGAAAGGACTCGCCGAAAGCCAGGATTCCCGAAAACGGTAAATCAGCTCTTGCGCTCTTCACCTGCGCTTCGACAATGAGAGTCATCCGTCTCTCGAGGTGCCCTACTCCAGTTAATCCGTTTAAATCACAACCACAATATCGTTCACGAGGTAAAAGGTCTCAGTTCCACAAGCCAACTTTCCTCAACAGATTATATCTTTAACATTAAAACGATACATAAAAAGGACATGTCATCGCCTTAATTGCGAGCTCAAATCGTAGAAACTTCTCGAGACACGTCTCGTGCGTCACTGGGGCTCCGTTTTATTTTCGGCGGCTTACGTTCCCCTCCTGCAGAGAGGTTCAAATTATTAAGTGTATTAAATATCCCCGTTTTCGGCTGTTCCTGGATTGTTACGTTATTATTTATACGCGATCGGTTAATCGGGTCCGCCCAGTCGCTTTGAGTTTTCACCACGATTTACTCCGTAGGTAAAGTTCCCGGCACGCGAGGGCGCGAGTCGGGGAGAGGCGGCCGAGAGAACCTCCTCGGGATGCTGCGCGGTCTCGAATGATTGCCCGAGCCCAGCTGGCGCGCAACTTGTACGTAACTCGACCGCTCGTCCGAGGGCCAGAGATGGCGCTGCGAGCGCGCGGCCCGCTTATCACGTGAGAAGCCCGCGAGCGCTACGCTCGACACGTGAGCCGCCCCCTTATCTGCTCGCTCCTCTTGCCAGTAATCGCTATCTCTCTTGGCAAGAACTGTGCTCTCGGAGCCGATTTATGCGGAGACGACAACATGGCGGGGCATTGTTTTCAACGACGCGCCAGACATATTAAAGAATAACTGCGTATTTCTCGAAAAGAACGTTTCACCAGATACTTAAGGAAAAAGAAAAAGAAACAACAACGCAATGTGAATGTTGTCCGTCCATTTAGAAACATTCCGTGCTAATTTGAATTACCGCATGAAATATGTCATTTGGAGGCAACTCTGTAAAATTAAACCTCAAAAAAAAGAACTGCGGTATAGAAAAGAAAGTGACATCGGCTAATGAAACTGAAGAAAAAATCTCATTGAACGAATAGGTATTTGAACAGTGGCAAAGGAATATTTTTGTTAATTAAATGTATCGTTATTTGACTCGAACGAACTGGGATAAATTGTATGCAAAATTTCTTCGGAATTATAACACTTTATTTAGATTTATTAAAGTCAAATCATTATTCTTGTAATTAACGGAATATTTCTCTGGTACTGTTAAAAGGACTATTTCGTTGGTTCATTGAATGTTTGTATAGAAAAAACACTATTGGTGAAGGATAATGACGAATACATCGGCTAGTATGACTTCGTTTGAAAAATTGCAAGGACCTCGGGAAGATCATAGGCAATTGGTTGTTTTCATAGAACTTCGTGTGGTTAAATTGTACGACGTGTGTAAACATTTACTCCTCTGAAAAGGATGTATTTTTAGTTCCGGTTAATTTTCGCCCCGTAGAAATTTACTTGCGATGGGTATATCCTACAATCACTCAATTGATATCCGATTCGCAGAGAAATTTAGTTTGAATATTATTAGAGGTAAGGCAGGCGGAAACGACCTGCAAGGACGCAACGGTACACGTTTCAAGAAATGACTCTTGCAGTACCAGTCGCCATTATGTTCCCTCCACAGTTAAATCGGCTCTCCGGTACTGAAAGTTCAAACGCGTCGACCCGTGAAAATGTCTATCGGCTTGTTCAAAAGCAACAAGTCGACAAGTGATGCCCCGCGAACGGCGCTGAGCAAAATCATCGTCCGGGATCAAGAGAGGGCCAATTCATAGAAACGTTTACGCACTTTTCCTATCTCCTCGATCGGCATCGCTTTCTTCATCCCTCCACGTGATTCGCGTATCCTGCAGGCCGGTGATTAATCGGCAGCCGGTCACGGAAATAAAATGAACGTTAATCACTTTCTCAACAGAAACCGCGATAACAATCATACCGTTTAGTCGGCACTACCGTAATGACTCGACAATCCTCCTTTATTGCTCAAATCAAAAAACAACTACTGCATTAAAACACTTAAAAATAATTTCTCTAGATATTTCATTTCAAACTACAAATGATTTCCTGCTTCAACCGCCGGTCCTGAGGAAAAATGTCTTACCCAAATGTTCTTTAGTGCTGTATGAGGAACTAAATTTCTTTTATACGCTTCTTTAATGGAACGCCTTTAAAAGGTGGTTTCCTCGGCTTTAAGGTGATGTGAAAGTGGCATCAAAGAGGTCTTGTTTATAAAACTTTTCTCCCAACTCGATTTACCGAATGGTTTGGAACTATAGAACGTGAATAGGGAGACTATAAGGAAGGTCCTGAAACTCATGAAATTTCAATTCTTTTCAAATTTGTTTATAGATATCTTAAAAATAGTTTATAAAAAATGAAATTTCGCGAGTTTCAGGACCTACCTTAGGGTCTCCTTTAAATTATGAAACGATTTGAGACACCCAGTTCGTAGAAAAATTTTATGAGCGATTGAGCATTCAGATGCCACTTTCACATCCCCTTAAGAGATCCGGCCGAGGTTATGCGATAACCCCCCGCGATTCGAAAATTCTTATGGAATCGTAAAACTAAGTGTTAACAATCCACGCTCTCTTCGGGCCGTTCGGCTCGAGTTTTCAGGGAAAAGGTAGCTTATCATTTTTCGAGTATCCATTACGACCGCTAAGGCAAAGGAGCATTGGCTTAAACCCTGTGATCATGAAGTACACTGTAAGAACGTAAAATCAAGAAACGTCGCGGACGACAGTACCTGTAATTTCGTCAGGTAGAGGTGAAAGTGAACATGTAGCGAATTATCCGGCCGACAAAATTCGCAACGCGGCGATTCGGCCGAAATAAATCGAGCAAGCCGACGTAATTGAAGCCCGGAAAATCATAATCAATTTCGCGCGGTTCTTTTTCGCGCCCTTTTGGGTTTTCTTGCGGGCCTTCTCAAGCCCCATAAACGCTCATTTTCTCCTGTTGGGATTTTTTGCACGGCAATATTAACCCACGGCAATATTAAAGATAAACGTCGAGAAGCACGAGATATTTTTTGCCGAATCGAAAGAATTACCATGAAACGATAAATCACTGAAAAAGAAACGGAAAAATGTAGGTAGCCATTTTTATCCGAGCAGGAGTTCACGAGTGATCTATTTGTGTCCTGAAACTGACTTTGCAGTCAACTTACACTTGCGGGTTCAATGAGCAGATCGCGGATCACGTTTTGGAAGGAAATCACAAGTGATAAGGGTTGTTTTAAATCGCCCGACTCTGCAGATAAGCTTTTACATGATATTCAATTTTCCAGAGGCTGATGTGATATGCGAGACGCGATGTAAGGTACAAAGTGGACGGAATTCTTGAAAACTTCGACCGATAGTGCAAAATGCTCTCGGACAGATAAGGAAGCGCCGGGAGTGGGGCACTTTAATTGCAATTTATTAAAAAAAAATACTTAGCGACAGTGCAGATTCATACTGTTGCCGCCGATCGATCCGGTATCGACCAGCTCGCGAATCGTAGCAGTGGTCAACGAGATACGAGCACAAAAGCCAGTTATCCGGGAAAGAACTCCTCGTTGTTCAATCGTTAGCAACGTTTATCTAACAGAAAGCTGATGGACACTGGCGATCGTAATATCCGCAACAGCCGTCAACTACAATTACAATTAAATTGTATGTTTCCTCGACTGATGCACCCCAATAGGTACTTCCTCAAGTACTGCTATTAAACTCGTAACCATAAAACAAACACTGCGAGTCCGATACAGTTACGCCGTTAAAAATAACAACTCTATATATAGCATACCTGTAGTCAATGTTCATTTTTTTTCAAACACAATTTTTCGAAATTTTGTATTATGTTCCGAATTTTAGTATACGAGTATGTATACCAAATTTCAAAATTTTTGCCCTACCAATTTTCGATCACACGCATACACCCTCAATTGTATGTATTTTGAGAAAAACGCATTGCAGTACATTTATTACCATTTGTACCGATCTCTTTCCTTATTCCACTTTCTGTTAATAACTTTGCATACACTTTTACGATTTCTCACGTAGAATAAGTTCTTGTAATAAAGTATACACTTGTCATGTTTTCATATCGAATTTCGGCAAATTCAAAGATTCAGGGCGCAAACCCTAATCAGTGCCACCGCATGTAGAAATCAAGCCGGACTGCAATTAAGTGAAAACCGGTATCTAATTAAACAGTCGCGGCTTTTTCATTGCTATCCGTGACGGCAATCAGTACGATCACAGTGTCCACTCTAATCTCGAACACACGAGTACGTAATCTCGACATCATTCACACGGAGTTCTTTATCTAGGTGGTCCAAGAACGAGCCCTATCATTAATCGGGTTAATTGTAACAACAAACCCGATAGAGTGGTTATCGATATCACCCAGAAGTTAGGTTTTCACGTAAACGTTCCATCGTCGGAATCGTTAGAATTCCGGGATAAAGTAGGGTTTAATTTCGCCCGGTGACGTATCACCGAAGGAAATGTCTCTTATCAGAGGCGAACCGTGCACCCGCCGTTCCGCGCCGGCCACAAGTGGAGGCGCAGCTTCCAGTTAGAAGCGCTTCGCCGAGTTTACGCTTCGAATAAAAAAAGAGTCTCTTAACGAGGCCGAGTTATCACCCGTCCAGATATAACCGGCCGCCATTGATCTCCGAGCGGGGAATAAAACGGTCCGCGCATTATGGACCCTGGTGTGTTATCAGAGCACGCTTGACCGGGGCAGTCCATCCTCCGTGTTTTCGCCGTCGATAACCGGCCCTCGCCGGATCCGGTCACAACAAGCGACTCGTATCTTGTCTCGTGCGCAAATCCGAGCTCGCCTCGATATCCCATGACACGCACACGCGTAACGCGCCCTCCGAGATATCCGGAGTCGATATTTATGCGCAGCGCGGCATGGAGGAAACGTTTAACAAAAGTGAAATAATCGCCGCATCGATTTTCGTACAAGGGGCTCGACTCTCGGATTCGTCTCCGTTATCTCGAATCGTCCAAATTTCATGCACGATAAGAACATTTGCGCCGTTAAACTTAAGGTGTTACGAAAGTGTCATTCATATATAGGATGATCATCTATAAATGATACATTAACACGTGACTGTGGAAGTTCTAATCAAGATCACAAATCTCGCGGAATTTCATTTTCCATCGATATCAATTTTCCTTCTCAACGAAATAATTCTTCCGTGCAGTCATATATATTTTAAGCATCAATAAATCGCGTTACCTTGTGCCTTTTTTTTTATCTTTCGATTATTAATCACTATTTACGTCCATTTTTGGGTTTTACTACCGACACGACCTGCGTTAATTTTGAAAGAATTTCGAAAGAATTATTAAGAATTATTAGAAATATCTAGTAGTATGATTGTCTACCATGAAGTGTCACTTTCAGCGCACGTGGGGGCCACGTGCCGATTTTCTTGACTCGTCTCTGCGAGTTATATAAAAATATAATGAACCGATTTCTAAATCTGCATTCTTCGTAACAAGTGAATGGCACATGCATGACAGTTTCGGCCAGAATGTTAACACCTCTATTTGTCCAAGGTGTGAACGTCCAGGCGGGCTGGCGACTTAAATAGCACGAATTTAAATTTAAAATCCGACTTTTTATTATTCCTTGATACATATTCATAAGTCCCTCGATGGTACCCCAAGACTGACGGTGAGCGTTTCGATGTGAATTAAATCCGACTCTTTACCCCGAACTACTTTTATTATTTTCCCCAACTTCTTTTAAACCCTTCATTGTTTCCCTTCCCACAGGAACCTCCCAGAACCGTCTTTCAACATTAAGCAATAAAGCAAATATAAAAAGAAAGTTTTTAAAAATATATAAAAACAAGACTCTGAGCCACCGTATAAAACCCTAAAGAAAATAAATAAAAATATCTTTAAATATGTGAAAACAAGTCAACTCTGAGCCACCCTGTAGAACCTTGTCCAGCGTGACGTCTGCCAATTTCGTTCGGTTTACCAGATGACCATTTCCGTTAAACGTTCACGGTTTACGGCAGGGAAGCCAATCGTTATCACGCGGCGGAATTCGACACGAAATCGAGCTCTGTTGACAGTGAGGTACACGTGGCGCGATAACGTAACCTCGTCGTGTGTGCGTGGATATGCACATAAGTGCAACACACGGGAATCGTCACGAAACACGTGAGGTGTGTAGGCCTGTGTAAGTCTGTGTAGGTCGACGAATTACAACGCGCCGTTAAGTGGCGCGAAGGTGTCGGCGATGGAAGTCAATAAAAGTGCGCGCACGTGCTCGGCGACCGATCGATCGCTCCTCGTTTCCGATTTCTATATCCGTGGTAGGGCCAATTGTGGGCCACCTTGTAATGTCACGCCCCGTCCGAGTGGTAAAATAGTCCGCGAATGGCAAATTCGATAAATGCGATTAACCCTTCGGGCGGGGCGAGTTTCCCCGAGAAGTAAGCAGGGGGAACGCGTAAATGTAGACATCGTCCTCGAAGGGTTAAGTGGCCGTAACTGACGCACGTTTGCTAAATTGGTCGCCGTAAATATATGTATCCATAAAAAGGGTAACGAAACGGTATCGAAATATAATGAATTACGGAATAATCGTGGGCGCACGTGTAATTGTTCCGCCCAGGCGGCACTCGGCGCGGACCCTCGGAGGTCGTTAATAAATGCCGACAATCGGCTCGTAAATCAACCGAGATACACGTAGGCTTAATAGAGAGTGAATTAGGAGACTTTCTAATTGGCGAGTATTTATCGGCTCGCGGGGCATGCAATTTACCGACTCTTTTCCCGGTCCTCCCGAGTTAGCGAGAAACGCGCAATCCATCGTGCGGCCGATCGCTATTTCGTTTCCGACGACGCGTCTGCGAGATTTGCGGTCCGCGTGGGAATTTCGCCGGTATCGGGGGAATTCGTCTTACCGACCCGACGAGATAACGCCTCGAAAAACGGCCGATAATCGCGAATGTCTCTCGAGATTATGCTCACAGAAGCGAGAAACCCGTTTGCG